AGGGAACACAAGCAGGGGGAGTGGGAGAGGGAGAAGCAGGCTTCCCGCAGAGCAGGGAGCCTGATGCAGGTCTGGACCCCAGGACCCTGGGCTCATGACCTGAGCCGAAGGCAGCCGCTTAATTGACTGAGCCACCCAGGCGCCCCAAAAATGAGTTTGAGAAAACTTGAGTTCATCCCAGAGTAGCCATTTGGGGAAAAATGAAGTTGGATCCCTACTTCATTCACTGTTTGCAAAATTAATTCCAGGCAGCTGAAAGGTTTCAATATAAGAAAGTGAAACTAGAAGAAAACATGACATTTTAGAAAGTATCAGAGTGGGGGGGGCGCCTGGGTGGCTCAGTTGGTTAAGCGACTGCCTTCGGCTCAGGTCATGATCCTGGAGTCCCTGGATCGAGTCCCGCATCGGGCTTCCTGCTTGGCAGGGAGTCTGCTTCTCCCTCTGACCCTCCCCCCTCTCATGTGCTCTCTCTCTCTAATTCTCTCTCTCTCAAATAAATAAAAATCTTAAAAAAAATCAGAGTGGGAGAAAATGATGTATACATAAAACACTGGCATCGTGAAAAAGACAAGCAGCGGGGGCATTGGGGGATGTGGGGATAGTTGTCCCCATACAAAAGTTAATTCTTTAAAGAACTTCTAGAAATTAGCAGGAAGAGAGAGGCTACAGAAAAATAGGCCAAGGGTGTAAATAGCTCAAGGAGTCACGATAAATGACAAAACACAAGGAGCTGGCTAACCTTATTTGCAGGGACAAGCAAGTAAGCATGGTAAACTCGTAGTGAGGGTGTGGAGAAGCAGGCCCTCTGGCACGTGGCCTGTCGATAAACCTCACAGGTCAGTTTGATCTGGCTGTTTATCTCCCATATTTGGATTCAAATGTGTATGACATGCTGTACATACAGGGATATTCATTTCAACGTCCACCATAGCAAATTGTTGTAAACTGCCAAGGTTCTGGGTAAATGTATCCATGGGACGTCCTCCTGTGCTGAAATACTTGAGTGGAGAATGAGCTCCGGGTGCAGAGACCATCCTCCACGCAGACGTGTAAGAGCAAGCTGCGGAACGGCGTTTGGATGCCATTGCGTGGTAGTACATGTGTGTAGGCAGCATGCATGCGTGTGCGTTATGCACAGAAGAGCTTTGGTTTTGTTTTGCTTTATTAAGCTCTACACCCAGTGTGGGGCTTGAACTCACCACCCCGAGACCAAGAGTCGCCCGCTCCCCTGCCTGAGCCAGCCGGGCACCCCTGCATAGAACATCTCTGGAAGGACAAACTTAACAAACGCAATAGTGGTGGTCTCGGGAAGGACCCGGGTTGCTGGGGAATACAGATGATCCCCTTCCGGACCTTGTGAAGTTTGTGTCATACGCATTATTATTAGTCAAAATAATTTTAAGCAAAAACAACAAAAAGGGGATTTATTCATCCAGATATGAACTCCTTTTGACAAATTTATTCATCCAGACATGAACTCTCACCTCTTGCTGAACTACCTTTTCTCTGCAATAAAACTGTGAGCTCTTCTAGGACAGGAACCTGCATACCTGGGGGCCCAATAATAACTGGCAACCATCTGGGGTACGCTGTCTCCCACCCCGAATTCTGTCAAATTCCTCTCTGTCTTCCCTACAACACAGCGCACCGGGACCCGCTGGGATCTCGAATCCTGACATCGTGGCCCCTCACGGGCTGCCAGCGTGGCCCGTCGGGTAGGAGAGGGCTGGGGTCTGGCTGCACACCTGTCTAGTCCGGGTGTCTTGCTTGCAGCGCCACTGGGGACGAAGAGCTAACCTTTCTGACTGTATTCTCTTCAGCCGGGATCTGGGATCAAGGGGGCGGCGGTCTCTTTAAGAAGTGGCGTGAGGCCCCGCCCTGCACCGAGATCAGCTGAGGGTGCGAGTCACATGACTCTGGAGTCTCTTCCGCCCTCTGAAGTTGGGGCCCCATGGGCGGCCGCGAGGGGCCCCGCTGGGGCCGGGGGCGCTGTGCCCCCAGCCCCACCCTCCTCCTGGGTCTTCTCGTGTCTGCGGCCCCGCTTGGCCTGCTGGGGGAGGAGACCCGCCAGGTGAGGGGCTGGAAGAGTGGGTGGTTCAGGAAATGCCGCCCGGGGAGGGCACCCGAGCGCCCGGGGGGCGGGGGGCCGCCGGGGCCCACGGGACAGGATCGTGGAGGGCGGAGGCTCCCTGTCTTCGGGGGACACCTGCCGGACCCTGCTGGCCCGGCGTGACCCAGGTGGGGCTTTTCCTTACCCCTCCCCCAGCCCTGCGCCCTCATCTGCCGCCAGGGCCGGGGGGGTTGTGGCTCTGCCCACCTCCGCGCCTTCCAGATTCCTGAGTTCCCACACCGCGCTTCTCGCCTCTCTGCATCCTACCCAAGCGGCTTCGCCCTGTGTCTCTTTCCCGACTCCGTGCCCTTGACCCTCCACGGCCCCGTGTTGCAGGTGTCTCTGGAGGTCATCCCTGACTTGCTGGGCGCCCGCCAGAACCTGCTTCACATCCGGGCAGTGGGCACCAACTCCACCCTGCACTACGTGTGGGGCAGTACGGGGCCTCCAGCGGCGCTGATGGTGGCCACCAACACGCCCCACAGCACCCTGGCTGTCAACTGGAGCCTCCTGCTCTCCCCGGAGCCGTACGGGGGCCTCAGCGTGCTCCCCAGGGGCAGCGTCCAGTTCTCTTCCGCCCTTGTCTTTACCAGGGTGAGGAGGCTGGGGGAGAAGCAGGGGGAGAGGCAGAGGAGTCATCCGGATCCCAGGGAGGGACGGAAGACTGTCAAGAATGGGAGGCTGGCTGGGGGCGGAGCAAGAATGGGAGGCTGGCGGTGGGGGCCCGCGAGTGGGGGTGGGGCCTGCGAGGGGGTGGGGGGTGGTTCCGGGACAGCGGGACTCAGCAAGCCCCGTCCCACCTCACCCCACCCCCCAGCTGTTTGAATTTGACAGCACTAACACATCCGAGGCGTCAGCCAAGCCTCCAGGAAAACCGTATCCCCCGTATTCCCTGGCCGAGTTCTCCTGGAACAACATCACGGACTCCTTGGATCCTGCCACCCTGAGCGCCACATTCCGAGGCCACCCCGTTCACGACCCCGCCGGGGCTTTTGCCAACGGCAGCCTGGCCTTCAGGGTAAGGTGTGGGGAATCAGAGGAACTCAGAAGGTGGCTTATGAGGGTGGGGGTGGCCTTCCAACACAGACAGGCCCCCGCTTCCCATGCCTCCCCCGCCTCCCCCACTCCAGGTGCAGGCTTACCCCAGCTCTGGCCGACCGGCCCAAGCCCCGCGCCTCCTGCATTCGGCGGACACCTGCCAGCTAGAGGTAGCCCTGGTTGGGGCCTGTCCCCGGGGAAACCGCTCCCTGTTCGGGCTGGAGGTAGTCACCTTGGGCCAGGGCCCTGACTGCCCTTCTGTGCAAAAGCAGCACTCCATTGATGATGAATATGCACCTGCTGTCTTCCAGGTCAGGCTTCCAGCGGAGAGGTGGGGGGGTGGGGGAACGTAGGAGGAGCCCTGTGGGACCTCAGAGACTCGTATAACCATTTACTAACTAGCAACGTAGTTCAGCTCCTTTAAGTGCTGGTCACTGTGCTGATGAATGTGGCCAGGCCTCTGCCTTCAGTGCAGAAGACAAGGCGGGCCTGGGGGCCTGGGGGCCTGGGGCGGGAGCTGAGTGCAGGCTTGCAGAGGGGCAGGGCTGGGAGAGGACCCGGTGCTCCCGATCCAACTCCCCCTTCTATGGAAGAGAGCCTCAGGCTTTGTGCAAGCAGCCTTCGGTCCTGGAGGCAGGCCCAGACCCCAGGACAGCTAGTGACAGTGGGAGGCTGGGAAGGGTGAGGAACAGAAGGGTCGGCACAGGTCAGTCCTCCTCATCCTGTTGTTTTTCTCCCCAGTTGGACCAGCTGCTGTGGGGCTCCCTCCCATCGGGTTTCATGCAGTGGCGGCCGGTGGCTTTCTCCCAGAGGCAGAGGGGCCGGGACTCAGCCCTGCCCTGCCAAGCTTCCCCCCTTTACCTCACCTTGGAATACCCTCTCCCCCAGTCACCCATTGTCCGAGGCTTCTTTGGGTCCCAGACCAACTTCTGTGCCTTCAATCTGACATTTGGGGTTCCCACGGGCCCTGGCTACTGGGACGAACACTACCTCAGCTGGTGAGGGCCAGGGCAGGACCAGGGCTTTGGGAGTGGACGTGGGGCAGCCCAGCATCCCGGTCTTCCTGCCTAACCTGCTTACCTGTCTTTCTCACTCTGCTTGCCCTAGGTCGATGCTCCTGGGTGTGGGCACCCCTCCAGTGGACAGCTTGTCCCCGCTCATCCTGGGCATCATGGCGGTGGCCCTGGGTGCCCCAGGGCTCATGCTGCTGGCAGGAGGCGTGGTTCTGCTGCTGGGCCAAAAGCAGTGCTCGGAATACCAGCCTATAAATTGAGGCCCGCTCACTGGAGGGCAGGACATGAATTTCCGGGCCTGCCTCGCTGGTCTGCCGGATGAAGGGTCAGCTGCTCCCTTCTTCCATCTGGCTTCCCTGCAGAATCTCAGAGACTACCCTCGGCTTCCTGGAGGCCCCCCAGATGGGGCTTCCCTCATACTCTGGGGAGGGACCAGCAACAGGGTGAATGCTAGAGGTGGAGGAGTCCCTTGGCGATGCCTCCCTGCCCCACCAGCCCTATTTCCCGGAATGGGACTCCCAGGCCTAAATGAGAGGCCTTCTGACTTGTTGGCTGCCCTGGAAGGCACGAAATAGACTCATTTTCTCCCCAGGGCTCGTCTCTCAGTGTGTGGGTGTTGGGGGCGGGTGTGGGGCTGGTTCCAGGAACCAGAGGCTGAGACGTGAGCGTTGGAGGCACGTCTCCGTGTGCGGCCCCCTCTCCTCTCCCGCCCGCCCCTCTCTCCTGTGGGGCAGGGGGTTCTGGACCAGTCTGCGTCAGACAAGGAAGGGACGCCTGAGAGTAGGGCTCCAACGTGAAGGAAGAACCAAGGAAGACCGTGGTGGTCATTTATTGTCACACACACATTCACACGGGGTTCACATCAGCCACCGTGCCCTGCAGCCACCCCCAGCCACCATGTGTGTGGGCATGCACACACACACCCCTACCCCTCTCCAGAGGCAGGCTTCCCCTCCCCTCCGCACCTCCTCCCCTGGGAGAGGCGTGTTCTGAGCAGTTTGGAGGTGGGAGGTTACCGGGCCTGACTGGGTTGGAAGGGAGGAGGTATCAGCTCTGGGCTACGGCAGCTTTAATCATCTGGACTGAAGCTGAAGGGCCAGCGAGGGCCAGCGGTGGAGGGTCCTGAACCCAGGCCCCCAGGAAGGTTTCCACCAAACGTGCAAGTCCTGCACGATCGGATGCCCAGCCTTTATCTTCGGCATGGGCAGTATTTCCAGTCTCCCTGCGGCCCTCTGCTCAGACCGGGGACGGAAGTGGTCAGTCTGGCTGTGGCTCACAGGAGGCTGGAGGGTGGGGCAGAGGCCAGCCGCAGTGGGTCCCGCGGGCGCTGCTGGGGAAGGAACCTCACCGCTGCTCCCTGTCCTGGCTCCCCGTCCTCAGCAGGCGTAAGGGACATGGCCATCCACCTCTTGCCCTGCAAGAAACCCTCCCTCCTGACGGCCCCAGGCTCCCGAGGTAAAAGGCCCACTCGGACTCGGGGGAGAGCAGGGGACGGTTGGGCACTGCTGGGGCTCATCCCCCGAGGCACCAGGGCCGGGGTGGGTACTCAGCCCCAGGGCCGAGGCCTGCCATCCAAGGCGGAGCGGGCGTGGTCGGGGTAGTCCAGGCGGCTCTCGGCTGCAGTGAGCATGCGCTCGGGCTCCACCACGAACATGTAGTAGAGGTTCCACACCAGCATGGACAGCAGCGGCAGGAACGTGAGGCCGTAGCCGAAGCCTCGGAAGGAGCGGCCCACGGCGAAGGTCAGCCAGTACACCAGCCTGGGGGGGCCGGAAGAGGGGAGCGCGTCAGCTAGCTGGCAGGTACATCAGCCTGGGGGGCGGGGCACGGGTACAGCAGACTCATCTGAACAGCCCGAGCTTACGCACTTACCGGGCTGGACACCGCACGACGTCGGGGCCACTAATGTAGACGCCCCTGTGTCCCCATGAGGCGAATATATCACACTCCCTTCCCTCTCTGCTGACTTCCCAAATTTAACTTTGAAACTTTTGCGTAGGCAGTATCCGTTCACGTGGTTCCAAATGCAAAGGCACCAGGGAGTATAGTAAAATGTCTCCCTGCCCCGATCCTCACCCCTCAGCCCCCCGCCTCCCCTCCGCCCCGACTTGGATGTCCAGCATCACGGCGGCTTTGCGTCAAGCACTTTGCGTATAGATGAGCAAGCAATGGGGGCATGTTTTCCTTTCCCCCGGTTGTGAAGTTTGGTAGCAAACCACACAGGCTGGTCCACACGCTGTTTTCCCCCATTAACTGTATCTTGGAGATCCGGGTTACAGCAGTACATAACCAGCTTCCTCATCTTTCACATCCTGATGACATCACACTGTGTTGGTTTCTCCTTTTGCAGATGAAGAAACTAAGACTCCAAAGGGGGTAAGTAAAACTGGTCCAAGGTGGCCCATCAGGGAAACGGTAAAACTGTGATTTGAACCCAAGCCCGATCGTCACCCTCTCTCCTGCCACTCTGGAGGGGCAGAGGGAAAAAAGAGAGGAAGGAAGCCAGCTTCAAGGGGGCCTGGAGCCCAGAGGGATGGGTCTTTCCCCTCTCGGAATATCCACTCCAAATACACACCCCCAATGCCAGGAGGGCAGCAGCTTCCTCTTAACGGGTGAAGGACCACTTAGTACAAAACGGCCGTGCCTCCACTCTCACCCCTGGGACGAGGGGGAGAGCCTGGGCACTGCACCGGCAGGCACAGCGGGACACTAGCCCTTCCCAGGCACCAGACTCCTGCAAGCTCTCTGCATGAAGTCACTCATTTAACCCCCACGCTCCGCAGAGGATGAAGCCGGGCACAAGCGCTTGAGCACCTTGCCTGCCGTAGGGAAGGAAGGGCCCTGGGGACACTGGAGGGGCTGCATTCCAGGCCCTGCTGCTGCTGGCAGGCCTCAGCAGCTCCTCTCCCCGGTCTGTTGGCTCTTTCCTCGCTGTGAACGGGCTGAGAAGGGCAGACAAGCATGGGGTCTGCTTAAGCCAACTTCTGTCTGAGGCTGGTGCTCCCCAAGACGGACATGGGAGGGTAAGTTACCCAAGTAGGAACAGGAACGTGTTCATCTGGGGGAACATCTGGGAAAAAACAGGCCGCACCACGGCCAGGAGGCTGGTGGGACAGACGGTCACTAGACTAGTCAGAAGTGACAGCACAGAGATTCTGGCTCAAGAGCAAGAATGTTTGGGGCACCTTGGTGGCTCAGTCGCCAAGCATCTGCCTTCGGCTCAGGTCATGGTCCCAGGGTTCTGGGATCGAGCCCCGCATCGGGCTCCCTGCTCCGCAGGAAGCCTGCTTCTCCCTCCCACTCCCCCTGCTTTTGTTCCCTCTCTCACTGTGTCTCTCTCTGTCAAATAAATAAAATCTTAAAAAAAAAAAAAAAGAGCAAGAATGTTCTAGCAGTTAAAGGGACCTGGAATCCTGCATCAAAAGTAACAAAAGGAAATACGTTAGGGAAAAAATGGAAAGATCTGCATGCGCCTTCAGAAATTCAAAAGTGCTTTCTGGGTTAACAGCAGTTCACGTGGAAACACCCCAAAGAGTTTCAGGTGACTTCCAAATGAAAGCAGAGGAAGGTGGCTGCGTGAGAGCCAATGTGGCTCCATTTGTATGAGCAGGAGGCCAATGCCAGTGACCACCGACAATCAGGAGGCTCTCCTGCCCGGAGGGAAGGTCACAGGACACTGAGAGACTAGGACCATTTGGCAAAGTAAACCGTGGAGGAGCAGGGTGTTGGAGTAGGGACATCCAGGGCTGTTGTCAAATATCTGAACTGTCCTGGGCAATTCCAGAGTCAAAGTCAGGACAGCAGTTTACAGCACAACACAAAGAAAGACTCTCTAGTAACTGGGACCTTTGAAAAATGAAACACACTGTCTTACACAGAACTGAACATTGGTCACAGGGGGTGTCCAACTAGAGGCCAATGGCCACCTGACCAGAGTGTCACAGGGGAGTGCCAGCAATGGGTGGGAGGTTGATCTAGGTGACCCCCGGCAGCCCTTCCAGTTTTGGGTTGGTCTATGGCTCCCTGAAATCAACTTCCTTTGGGAAGACATAGATCTGATCACCTGCTACCAGGTGAGGTATGGTGCAAGGGAGAAAGTGGACTCATGGATCCAGGGTGCAATCTGGGCTAATGCAGAATCCAGAAGGCTCTCTATCCCTGTCACCCCAGACAAGATGCCGGGGTCCCTCCAGCACCGTCCCCGCCCCTGAGCCCCACCCCCAGCCAACTCACCGGGAGATGGCAAAGAGACCAGTGAGCAGAGGGAGCAGTTTCAGGGTCTCTTGGGGCAGGTAGGTGGAGAGCACAGCCAGGTTGAAGAAGTACAGGATGAAGAGCTGGACCGACTGGGCCACGTAGCGCCGGTGGATCTCCACCTCCCGCCGTGGCTCCCCAAAGGGCCGCAGGGCCGAGAAGCACAAGAGGCTCAGCCCATACACCAGCAGCCCTGGCGGGGTTGGAGAGCACGCAGGGTCAGCCTGGGAGCAGCAGGCGGGAAGCCAGGGAGGGCTCGCGGTGGGGCTCCCACCCCGGCGAGGGCCGGGCGCACGGGGCCCAGGGGAGGGGAGCTCCCGCCCCCAGCCCTGCTCCCTTCTCCCGGCCCGGCTCACCCAGTATGATGGGGAAGGTGGCAAAGACCCCGCAGCGCAGCGTGTAGATGAGGCGGGAGCTCATGGTAGGCAGCCGTGGGGCGTCGAAGGGCAGGAAGGCGTAGGCCCCATATAGCAGGCAGGGGAAGAGAATGAGGGCGGCTCCCACCGAGGCCACGGCCTTCAGCCCCTCACGGCCTCCGCAGCTCCCACAGCCCCCGCAGGAGTGGCCAGGTGGCCTCACCACGGCCTCGGCCCACTTGCGCTCACAGGGCTCGGGGTGGGTGGCCCGGGCCGGCAGGCAGTCCCGGCGGCGCTCGCCCTCGCCCGCCTCACAGCGCACAGCCGGGTCCTCCTGGGGCCGCCGCTCAATGCACTGGAGGTCGATGGGCACGAAGGCTCGGGCCGCCTTCTCGGGCAGCAGGTTGGCATCATCTTCGGACAACTCCTCTAGCTTGGTGGGTGGCTCTGACTGGAGGGGTTCGGGCTCAATGTCCCGCCACCCGGGGGGGTCTGGGAATGGGGCACTGGGCTGGGGGCCAGTCCCCCAGGGCAAGGTGGCAGCCTCACTCACTGTGCTGTCGAGACCATCCTCAGCCCCCTCTCCGGCAGTGGTAGACCCAGCTGAAGACCCCACCTTGGAGGACTCAGCGCCATGGGACTCAGCCTCACCTTCCCCTTCTGGCTGCTGGCCACTGGGGACCAAGGCCTGGGGTGGGCTCTTTTCCAGGGCCTCAGACCCCTTCACTTCCAGCAGGGCCAGAGTCTCGGGTTCTGTCATCCTGGGGCCTCAGTTCTGGGGTCTACCATGAGGTCCTATCACCCTGGAGAGAAAAGAAAGCTCTGTCAGAAGTTCCTGGCTTCTGGCCCTCAGGACAGGTTTATAGGATTGGAACTGTCTGGGGCAGCTGGTCTCATGGGCTTTAGCCCCTTCTGGGACCTTAGGGAGAACAAGGTACCCAGGAAGGTGTTGAAACAGAAGGAGGTGGGAGGGAAGTGAGCAGCTGAAATGGAGACACCCTTTCGACGTCAAATGTCATCCAGTAGGAGAGGGTGAGTCAGGGGGCGCAGGCGCGGGCAGCTGTGGCCTTGGCCAGCTCCCACCCATGCCTTCTACCCCCTCCACCAAAACCCCTGGGGTCATGGCCACCTTAATGCAGAAATAGGAGGAAGAGGGGGTGTCTAGAGCTTTGCCAGGAGCTCCCTTCCCACCAGGGGCCTCCTTGCGTGCAGAGAAGCTGCCTCTTTATTTTCAAACCACCCCTTCTCCTTGTAGCTCCCTGCTTGGAGCTCTCCCGGTAACTGACACCAACGATCTGCCAACAAATCTGTCCCAAGGATCTGGCGGTTATAGCGCGCCCTGCTCATTTGTCTCCAAGGTGGGCACCTGGGCAGCCTCCACACTTGTCACCAGCACCTGTCCTCTATCCTCCAGCTCCAGGGGGCCTGGGGCTGTCTCTTCTGACTTCTAGATCTGGTCATGGCTGTTCCCCATGCCTCCTCTCCTGCCTTTCTCCCCTCCCTGTTTCCTCCATCTCCCTGCTGCTGGATGGGGCTGAGTCCCTTCCCTCCACCTCCTCAAGGATCTTCTGCCCCTTGCCATGTGGACCCATGACACCCTCTTACTTTCCATCTGGAGAGGCGGAGGGTCCCCAACGTCTGGGAAGGAGCTGCCCGGCTCCCTGCTGGCTCTGCAAGTATTCCACTCAGTCTCTCTCCCTTTACCTGTGTCTCCAAACCTGTCTGACCAGAGCAGGTGGGGCCCAGATTAAAGGGGCAGGCCCCGCCCTGCTGAATCTGCCGACAGAAAAAGCATTGGCGGAGGACGTCATCATCCTTTCTGAAGGTGGGGGTGCAGCTGAGCATAAAGGTAAGCGTGTGGTCCAGGCACATGGGATGTGTAGGAGCTTGAAGCTAGGGAAAGCAGAGGGTAAAGAGTGGGTCTGTACATCAAAGGGTGCTTGGACTAGGTTGGGATACCCAGAAAAGAAATGGAATTTCTACATTTATCCATTCAATATTTGTTGAGCACCTGTTTTTAGCCAAGCACTATTCTAGGCACAGACAGACATAGAAGACAAGGTGACAGGCAAGGTCTCTGCTCTCGAGGAGCTTGTTCTATCGGGGTAACAGATAATAAAGAGCCTAATCAATAAGTCAATTTGAGGAGAGAAACCTGTTTGCCAAGATGACATTTGAGCTGTGACCTCATGGGAAATAAGGAGTGTCCCAAGGAGGGGACAGCAGGAGAAAGACCAGCTTAGGTGATTTCAGGAACAGAAAAAACGTTGGTGGCTGGAACCAGGAGATGGAGGTGGAAGGGAGTTTATGTTCCTACTACAATTTACACAGACCCCCAGACACTGTGCTTTTTGGCCTAGGTTTAAGGTTAAGAAAGCAATCAGATCCAAGGTGACCTTTCCAAGGCAGAAACGTGAGAGAATGGCTGCTCGTCCCTGTGGGACCTTACCCCAGAAGCCATCTAAGCTTTGTGAGGGCGGGGCAGTGTCTGGATTGCTCGTCCCGGCATCTCCCGGGTCCAGGCGTGTGGCTGGAAGACAGCAGGTGTTCTATGCATGTTTGCGGGGCTGCAGGTGTTAGTCTTTGCAATGGGAGCCGAGGGCCGAGCGCCCGTTCAAGGCTCAGGTCTCGGAGGGCTTACTCTTGCGCTCCACCTTCCCGAAGGAAACTTTCACGTACGCTTTTGTTTGTTCAAGTGACGGGATAAAATGAGAAGAGGAATCAGCAGTGATCTGAAAGAGGGGCGGCTCAAAGGGGGGGTCGGGGTGAAGTGTCGGAAGGATGCACCCAAGGGCCACTGCTTTACAAAGCAAGGCCTCGCTGCAAGCTGGGGGCCCGTCTGCCGGACCCAGCCCAGCTCCAGCCCCTCACGGGGCCGCTGTCCATTCTCCGGCAGCTGTGTCAATAAAGTTTTCCGCAAGGACTTGGGGAAGCCGGAAGGGGGCCGTGCTGCCCAGAGTCAGTTCTGGCAGCTTCCCGGGAGGGAAGACGAGCTTCGCGAGATCTGGCAGCATTCAGGCCGCCGGCCCGCCGCCGGGCAGCTGCTATCGCGAGACTTGGCGGGCGGAGGAGGAGCTGTCGCGGGCAGCCGCCTCACAGCGATGGCGGCCGAGCAGGGCCGGCGGCGGCGGCGGCGGCGGCTCCGGCCGGACGCGGCGGCGGCGGCGGCGGCGGCGGCGGCGGCGGGCGGCGGGGGCCTGTGACCGGGAGCCGCCCCGGACCGGGCACCATGAGCCAAGGCCCCCCCCCCGGGGAGAGCAGCGAGCCCGAGGCGAAGGTCCTCCACACCAAGCGGCTTTACCGGTGAGGGGCCGGGGCGTGCGTGCGGCCGCCGGGGGAAGTGGGCGCCGCGGGGGCGGGGCCGGGGCGCGGGGCGCGGGCCGAGGGCGGGGGCGGCCGAGGGGCGCGCGTGGAGGAGGCCCTGGCCGGGCGCCGGGCGCGGCCCCGAGCTGGGCGGGCCGCGGGGTGAGGGTGGGGTCGCCGGCGGGGAGAAGCCGGAAGGGAGCGGCGCCCCGAACCCCGCAGGCGCTCCGTGCGACCTTGGGCCCCGCTGTCCTCGTCCTGGAGAGGACAGGCTTGGCTTGGATACACTCGAAAGCCCCTGTGGCTCCGGGTGTGCGGAGTTTGAATGGAGAGGGGCTGGAGACGCGTTGTGTTGGTCTGGAAGGGCCACGAAGGGCTGTGAGTGCGCAGTGTGCCCAGGTCACGGAGCCCGTTCAGGGCACCGGGGCCCCCGCCCCGAGCCCCGCTCCCTCCCAGCCTCGTGACTCGGTCTCTCGCCAGCAGCTTCCATTCCTGGCTGCTGGTCGCCGCAGCGCCACTCGCCCTCCGCAGGTCCTGTCTGCATCCCCCGTGCCTCTGCTGAGGCCGCTGTGCCTCTCCCCACACAGGGTCGAGGATTGTTTTATGGGGGGCAGCTGGGACGTGGTTTCTAGAACCGGGGCAGAATGGGGTGAAGCGTGAGGCCAACTCGAGGTTGCTGCTTTCCAGTGGGGCGCAGGGTTTGGATTTGTCGTTTAGCTCCGGTCTGTTGAGCAGGGCCCTTGGAGCGGTGGGCCCCGTCTTGGCAGTGAAGGAGTCAAGAGCATGTGGTCTTTTCCTCCCTGGAATCGGCATCCTGCCTTCTCGGCCTTTGTAAGTCGGAGGCAGAGGGGAGTACAGGCTGCTCCAGAAATAGAAGAGTGATCCCATCCAGCAGCCCCTGGGCGCCCGCTGTGGGCTGCCCCTAGCCGGCTCGGGCGGGTGAGCAGCTGGCTCTGGTTGGCACGTGTGCCGTGTCATGCTGCTGAATGTCAGCGCGGCCTGCAGAGCGTGGGCCCTGCCTGCAGGATTCCCTCCTTGTCTCCAGCTTTTGGTAATGGCCCTGGTCATCCTTCTGATCGTTCGCAGGCCTAGTTCTTCCCCCACCCACCACCCTCACAGGACTGGCTGACTGCAGGTGATGTGTGAGCACATGTGGCTTACGTGTGTGCATGTGGGCACCTCTGCCTGCGACTGTGAGTTCTTGGCTTTGAGCAGGGTGGAAATGTGAGGCAGCAGGTCTCTGTATTTTTTTTTTTTTTAAGATTTTACTCATTTGACAGAGACAGCGAGAGAGGGAACACAAGCAGGGGCAGAGGGAGAGGGAGAAGCAGGTTCCCCGCGGAGCAGGGAGCCCGATGCGGGGCTCAATCCCAGGACCCTGGGATCATGACCCGAGCCAAAGGCAGACGCCTAACGATGGAGCCACCCAGGCGCCCCTGTTTTTGTTCTTTATGAGCGCAGTGGTGGCTATTGGAAGGAACTGGGGAAGGAAGGTCTGATTTCTCTGCCCAACATAAATGTGCTGTTAGACTACGAAACTGTCACTCAAAGCTTCAGTAACTTTGGGAAATTCCCACAGTCTGTTTATAGAAATGAGATTCTGAAATGTTTTAAGCCTCTCAGAAGAAAAGACAGCAGTAGAAGGGATGCTGGGCGGGTCACAAACACCAATTAATTAATTAGGCCGATTAACTATTTTTAAAAAACATATTTCGGGGCGCTTGGCTGGCTCAGGAGAGCATGCAACTCTTGATCTCAGGGTCATGCGTTTGAGCCCCACGTTGGGTACAGAGATTACTTAAAAAAAAAAAAAAAGATTTGCAATTAGAACTTCCTAGAGTAATGGTTATTAAGCTTTCTTGGATTGAGAACTAAGAGCTGTGGAGCAGTCCATAAAGACATGTGTACACACTCCTGAGATCTGTCCATGGCACGGAAGTTCAGAAGCCCTGCCCTGGGGCACTAAGCAGGCCTAGAGTAAAGTCACTGATGGCTGTCTGATGGCGCTGGCATCGAGGGCCAGGCTGGCTGAAAGGGCTTGGCTCCCTTCTCTGGGCAGCCCAGAAGGCATTTGGAGAAATGCTGAGCTCTAAAGATTGCCTGTGGGAAGGCCTGGATTACCCTCCCACCCACTCACCTGCGTGCTGGTGGTCACTTTTCCCTGGGCAGGGCAGCTTTTGCTGGCGTCCCACCTGAGCCACCACAGGGAGCTCGCCTGCCGGGGCCCACTTGCCCCAGCCCAGGGGCCCACTTGCCCCAGCCCAGGAGCCCATGTCTCAGTATTCTGAAACAATCTTGAATTGGGAATCACTAATGCCCCCTTTCTTTGTTGCTTTTGTGCCTGGAGCTGTGTCTGAGTTTACCTGTTTTGACAGCTGCTATCTGTCTTCCTCTGGGTTTTACCTTTCTAGAGGTGACACATACCTCTGGCACTTCTTAGCCATCCCTTGTGGAGTTTCCTTGGCCTTTTCTCGTGGTGTCTGGAGTCTCCTCCTTAGCCTTATGACAAGAGAGATGGAGGCTAATGCTTATTGAATGCTCCGCATGTACGAGGCACTATTATGAGTGCTTTGTGTATAAGCTAATTTAATCCTCACACCGTGGGTGATAATATTACTCTCATTTTGTAGATGGGAGAACTGGGACATAAGGAAGTTAGATATTTTGCCCAGGACCCAGAGCCTTTAATATCAAACAAAGAACCCAGAAGACCTTGTGACTGTGCAGTACACAGCTCAGCCCTCCCCCCATTTTTCCATACCCCACTAATTCAGAAATAGAATTTTATGCTAGGAATGCCTTTCCTTTGTGTCAGAGACAATAAGCCCGTGCACAGTAATTAATTCATGTCACCATTATTTGTTGAATGGCTGCCGTATGCCAAGGCCACCCGTAAGTTCTTTCAGTTCATCCTCACAGTCCTCTGAGGCAGCTGCTGTTCCTGTCCCCATTTTTATGGACAGGGCAGCTGAGGCTTGGAGAGCTCCGATAATTTGCCCAAAGTTACAGTCTTAGACACAGCCAGCAGTCAGAGCCTGGATTTTCTGTTGGCATCACAGCATAGACTCTTTCCATTAAGAGAGTCTAGCTTCTCATATCACAGGGTTTCTCTACCTTGACACCTTGGACATTTGGGGTAGGATAGTTAATGTGGTGGACTGTCCTGTGTATTGTGGGGTATCTGGCCGCACCCACTGAATGCCAGTAGCAATTCCCCCCCCCACCTCGAATCCCCGCCACAAGTAGTGATAGTCAGAAATGTCCCCCGGGGTAGGGGGCTGTTCTGTCAGGGGGGCGGGGAGACTGTTCATCTTGTTGGGTGCAGCCCAGCCTGCAGCCTTCCCATTTCCCTGCCCCTAATTCTGCAGCTTCTCCCCTAGGATCAGTGCCGCCCCCCCCCCCCCCCCCCGTCCCCCCAGCCTGCCTGGATATATGCATGGCTCAGGGGCTGTTTGCCTGTATTTCCCTCCAGGGCTGTGGTGGAGGCTGTGCATCGACTTGACCTCATCCTTTGCAACAAAACCGCTTATCAAGAAGTGTTCAAACCAGAGAACATTAGCCTGAGGAACAAGTAAGCTGGAGACTCTAAACCACAGATCCTTACGGTTTCTCTGCCCTTCTCCCCCTGAAACGCTGTCGCATGTAGGCGCATGTTCTCTCTTATCTCCTGACCTCATGGTACAATAATGGGTTGTGAACTCTGGCCCTCCTAAGAGAGGAAATGGGGACCCCTCAGTCTTTCTGCAGCTTCTGCATCTAACAGACTGGTGCCATACGGATGGCGTTGGAGTTGGGGGAGCTGGCCATGCTACAAAATGACAGGAAAGAAAGATGGGGTTAAAAGGCAGGAAAAAAGGAGAGAAGTGTGCAGGGGAAAAAGAAGATTATTAAAGTTCTTACTGCTCCTGCCTCTATCCTTTGGGGCTCCCACTGCTTTCCAGGACAGCTCTTTGTCCCGGGTCATGCAGACTGACCCTGGATGTCCCTTGGGAGGCACAGGGATTTGTTGGTCGGGGTATTGGCAAATGCTTCCTTGCCCCAAGGATGGTCAGTCTCTTGTGCTCCTCTGTACCCTCAGGCTGCGCGAGCTCTGCGTCAAGCTTATGTTCCTGCACCCAGTGGACTATGGGAGGAAGGCTGAGGAGCTGCTATGGAGAAAGGTATACTACGAAGTTATTCAGCTTATCAAGACTAACAAAAAGGTAAGGGGAGGTCCTAGATTTTGAAAAGAAACGTTGTCTAAAGAGGGAAGCTAAGAAAGGAAGAGACAATTAGGAAGGTGGGCCAGGACATGGTTGGAGGTAGAGGAGCCAAGGAAAAGATGGCAGAAAGGGAGGGGGTCAGATGTAATTAGGATTGGGGGAGGAGGAGCCTCATCCCAGATGGGAAGTTCAGAGAAGTGGATCTAAGGGTGTGGGGATAACTCGTGAGTGAAAGGAGAGTGGATGAAGTTTCAGAGCCAAGAATCTAAGTTCATTTCCTCATGAGAGGAACTGGGTTAGGGAGGAAGAACAGTCCTCTGAGCTTACTGCTTAGCCAGCCCCTTCACTTTCCCAACGTCCAGCACATCCACAGCCGGAGCACCTTGGAATGTGCCTACAGGACGCACCTGGTCGCTGGGATTGGCTTCTACCAGCATCTGCTTCTCTATATCCAGTCCCACTACCAGCTGGAACTTCAGTGCTGCATTGACTGGACCCATGTCACCGACCCCCTCATAGGTCAGTGAATGCTGAAAGGTGGGCTTGAGGAGCAAGGATATATGCCTCCACATCTGGCCTTCTTATTCTTCTGGGTACTGTAGCTTGTGACCTAGTCAGGCAGAGAGGATTCTAGCAAGACCTTCATATAGTCCATGGACTTCGGGTTTATCCATACAAGCACATGAGGTAGGGTGAAGATCTGAAGGAAAGAGAGAGGTTTCTGTTGGTTGGGACTGTAGACTGAGTCGGAAGGAGGGATGGAATGATCTAGAGCAGGTCTGGCACTGGAGGATAGTACTAATAGCATTTGTTTTCTTCTTGCAGTTGAATTTGGTTGGCACTGTTTCTTTTTTAAGTTTTTATTTGTTTGTTTATTTATTTACGTAATCTCTACACCCAGCGTGGGGCTTCAGCTCACGACCCCAAGATCAGGAGCCTCCCACCCCCCCGACTGAGCTGGCCGGGTGCCCCCAGCACGGTTTCTTTTAACTTCAGAGATTGTTTCCCGGTTTTTTTGCAAGTATTGACAGTTTTAGAAACGTTTGGGGATTACGGACATTCCCGCAGGAGAGCGCCGGTCTCTGTGCGGCTGTCTGAGGTGTCCGTGGCTCTGGCTGACCTTCCCTCCTTGTCTGACCTCTGGCCCCTCACGCTCCTTCCCTGCCCCGCCTCTGCCCCCGCCCTTGCTGGACTCCCGGGGCCCGAGCTTGTGACTGCCACCATAGGGCAGTCTCCGGTCAGAAGCGTAGCACTGCATTTGGTGCGTTTACAAAACATGATTTAAAAACAACAGTGTAACCTAAGACCGCCCTCACAGACTATACCAGATGGCCGGAGAGGTCCAGAGCCCCCCAAAGTGAAGGACAACAAATATTGTCTCACTTCAGAGAATCAGTTCCCCAAACTCTGTTTTCCTCCTCGTTGATGTTTTCACGTTCAGCTGACTACGCTGTTCGGTCCGCTTTTCAGGGTGGGAGTCATGCAGCCGGCAGCGTGGCTGACGGTGAGGTGGACAAGGGGGGATGGGCTCTGGAGCCAGTGTGCCCTTCGAGTCCTGGCTCTCCCACTTACCCGCTGTGTGACAGTCTCCTTGACTACCGCCTGGGAGCAGTGAGAGTGACCTCCTCGTGAGGTTGCTGTGAGGATCCGTTAAATTGACACTGAGCGACACTTAGAGCAGTACCTGGCACATGGGAAAACTGCCTCCCAAAGAGCTCAAACTCTCTGAACTGAGGCTGCAAAGCTGCTTGGGTGGAGGGGGAGCGGAGAGCCCAGCATATCGGGCTCTGGCCACACCGGTCCTCAGGCATGGCAAGCTCAGCTGTCTCCCTCATGGGCAGACCCTCCAGTAGGTAGCCTTCTCCGTGCACCTCCTCCCCAGGCAGAAGCCTGGAGCACCTACCTTGGCCTCATGCACAGGTTTCCCGTCTCTACTCAAACCTTTCACTCTTATGTGGGGAGCTTCTACCCAAGGCAGCCAAGACTGTCCTGACACTTGAGCTTCACCTCTTCTTCCTTTGTAGAAGTCCGCCTATGATGACCTTTCACGTCGCCTTCCCCCAGGGAACTGTCCTGGCCCAGGGACCCTCGCTCATCTCCTCCAGTTACTTCCTCTCCTGTGAATGACCCCTATCTGTGAGCCTCTGTCTCTCTACCTGGGTCCTGGATGCGTGTCTTCTCTGCCCCCCGCCCCGACACTGTTTTAGGGCGAGCCGTGGATTCTTGATCTCCTTTCTCCACCTGGGAAAGGTGTTTCCCGTTAGGTAGGGGGCTGGGGAACGGGCTCCTGATGGTCTCTGTCTGTCTTTCCCAGGATGCAGGAAGCCAGTGTCGGCTTCGGGAAAGGAGATGGACTGGGCACAGATGGCGTGTCACCGATGTCTCATGTACCTGGGGGACTTGTGTAAGAATCTGAACCTTTCCTTTTTGGGTTGGGCTCCAGGACAGGCGGAAAGCTGCTTCTGTTGTTGGTACCACCTTGTATGTGATGGGGGAGCAGGAGGAGGACCCCCCCCATCAAACGATGTGCCCTTCTCACTGCCCCTCCGTGAGCCAGAAAGGACCAGTGACTATGGAAGAGGGAAAATGAACTTTGAGAAAGTCTGGGTGATTACTCGGTTTCAGTAGTGGGTTAGGAAGACCTTAATTGGATACTCTTCTCCTTCTTTGGGGTTTGCTTTTTTCTTTCTTCATGGACTCCTAGAGGAATTGAAGTTAGGCCTCATGGAGGACTTCCTGCCCGGCAAATGTTCTCGGAATGGAGGAGTACTCTCTTGCCTGCTGGCCCCTGGGCCTCTAGTCCTGGTAGCTAAAGGTTTCTCATTAGGCTGTTGGATGCATTGCCTTTTGTCACCTGAGGCTCTTTCCCTCCCTGCCCCGCCCACTCCTGGTCCCCTCATGGGCCCTGTGCACAGAGAGCGCCAGCTGCTTCATGTAGACTGACCAGGTGTCCTCAGTAATGTCTTCACTCCAGAATCAAGCAGCTATATTCTAGAACCCAGTACCAGGGATCTTCCCAAGCAGTTCCGTCTGCTGCAGGTCCCCTTCATCGGGAGGAGATAAGCAGGAGTCTTTTTACAAACACTAAACATTCTCTACATTTTGAAGCTATCAGCAAGGAAGAGAGAGTTGAACAATTTGCCCGTAGTCATGCAGAGTTAAGATTGTGCCAGAGGCCCAAGCCGCCTGCCTCCTGGCTCAGGCATCTTCCTCCCAGGCTCTTACTACAGCTCCACAGCGGACTCCCAAATGAGGGGAGGTTTTTCTGAAACACAGCATCATCACGTTTCCTTCCTTCTGTCTCCTGCAGCGCGATATCAGAATGAATTAGCTGGTGTAGACACCGAGCTGCTAGCTGAGAGATTTTACTACCAAGCCTTGTCAGTAGCTCCCCAGATTGGTAAGTGGCACCCCCCACTCGGGCCTCCCTACCAGGCAGCATTTTCCAACAGGAAGACAACGTTAAGAGGGCAGGCAGGCCGCATCAGACTTCACCTTGGTTGGGCATTCTCCCCCTCGGAACACACTCTCAAGAGAAATGCAGAGTCCTGATCTAAGAAGGAGGAAGGCAGAGGGGAAGGAAGAGAAGAAGGCTCCCCTGTCCCTGAGGTCTCTGTAGAAAGAGGAACTTCTACTTTAGCTGTCCCCATGGCCTGCACAGTGGGAGAAGGGAGAAGGCTCCGTTACAGGGAGAGGCGGGGATTAGCTCGTAGTAGGAGAGTTCAGGGGTGAGAAACCGAGCTGGGATAGAGGAGAGGGCTCCATGGCATTCCATCAGCCTTAGAGGGGCCACAGCCGCTGCTGACGGAACGGCGCCCCTCGGTGCTGAACCCCCTGGCAGGCCAGGTCGGCAGGGAGTCTGTAGTCAGTCCCCTGGGGAGATAGGATCAGCTGCTCTTCCCCAGGGACGCCGGTGTCCGCTGCAGACCCGGTCCTCCTCCCCACGAGTACCCGGTGCTCAGCAGTGCTGGGTCGTGGTGGTGGGTGCGTGTTGTGGCCCCGGACCGCGTGACTTCTGTCTTCCTTCAGGAATGCCCTTCAACCAGCTGGGCACGCTTGCAGGCGGCAAGTACTACAGCGTGGAGGCCATGTACTGTTACCTGCGCTGGTGAGTGCCTGCCTCCCCCATCCCCCCGGCCAGACCACCTGCTGCTGCTTCACGCCCCCTCCTTTCCTATCCCTTGGTGGAGGTAGGGCTGCTTGTCACAGAACCCCCTGGATTTGTTGGCTCTCAGGCAGCCAACATAGCTGCCCACCGTCTCCTGTAAGTTCAGGATTGCTGTCTGGAAGGAGGAAGTACATGGGATCGGGGGGGCACCTGGGGGGCTCAGTCGTCAAGCGTCTGCCTTCGGCTCAGGTCATGATCCCGGGGTCCTGGGATTGAGCCCCACATTGGGCTCCCTGCTTGGCGGGAAGCCTGCTTCTCTCTCTCCCACTCCCCCTGCTTGTGTTCCCTTTCTCGCTGTGTCTCTCTGTCAAATAAACAAACAAAATCCTAAAAAAAAAAAAAGACGTGGGGAATAAAACGTTATCAGGGTAGTGGTTGACAAGTGCAGAACTGTCGAGCTTCAGTGTCTCAGAGTGACTGTGGTGACAGTGTGGGAGGACCAGCTGAGCAGCAGCGTGGCCCACTGTTTCCCCGGTGCTGATGCTCCCTCAGAATAAGAAACCTCGGGTTCAGGACAGCTGAGGCTGAGTGGGTTTAGGCCCCCGAGTCGGCAGAGCCAAGTGCGCACGTGCCTGATAGGTCGGCTGGTGCCCTTGATGACATTATAGTCAGAAATAAACTGCCTGGGCCCCAGCGGCAGCCTCGTAGGGGCCAACGGCTCCATGAGAAGCCAGACATTTGCAGAAGACACTGCTGTGAACTGGACTTCAAGGCAAAGGGAGTAAAGTAAGTTGGTCTTCGTACCTGTACTGGCCACGTACCGAAGTGTAAAGATTATGCCTTGTAATTCCCTGTGCCCTGGTCCTCGGCTCACCTGGTCTGGGAAACCTTTTCCCTTGAATCAACACAGTATCTGCTCTTGGGGTGCCCGTCTCCTTTCCTGGATCGGTATAGACTGGCCCCAGAGGCCACTGTTTTAATTCTTAAATACAGTTACCAGGTTTGTAGGTTTCCGTTGCCTCTTCCCCAATTCTCTCGTGCCTTCCGGGGAATGCCCCCTTGGTCCCTCATCACACCCATGACCATGATTTAGGGTGAGTCACTTCCAAAGACAGCCCAGCACATCCAGGTTTGGGAGGTGCCTGCTGAGGTCCTGCCCTCCTATGTTAAAGCATTCACGTCTCATGTTCATGGGTTAGGTATTTGGGTGGGGCTCAGTCTGGCAGTTCTTTTCCCCTCGGTGGCCTTGTCTAGGATCAGTCATTGGTATTCAGCGGCCCTGGAGGGCTGATCTATCTGGATCGAGGCTCATCTGGACCCCCTCCCACTCCGTGTGGTCTCTCTTCCTTGGGAGAGATGGATTTCTTATGTGGTAGCTCAAGGCTTCACACAGTGGATAATGATCCAAGAGATTTGGAATCTGCCAGTCTCTTATGGCCTGGGCCTGGAAACTGGCAGAGTCACCTGCCCGGTGTTCTGCTGGTCAGAGCAGCTGCATTGCCTGGTCCTTCCCCCTGGGCCCCCCGATTTGAGGGGAGTAGACACAGAACCCCCTGAATGGCAGGAGTGTCAGGGAATTCATGGCTTTTATTCACCATTAACATACATTTCTTCTTTTCTATCCGTTGCTTCTTACAATGAAAAGATTGTTTCCCCCGAAAAGACATTAAAAACAGCCCAGTGCACTGTTGGTGTCCTAGATACTGCAGTGAGGCAGGCTGGGCTTGGACACTCTGCTCTAGCTTGTGTTCGCCGTGGGGCCTGCACAACGTTCCTGCTCTTCCGGGCTCCACGTCCTCGTGCGCACGTGTGGACGGTATCAGGGTACGGGGCCTGGCACATGGCGCGCACACGCGCATCCAAACCAGTGTCGTGAGCCCTGAAATTGTGTGTACGCTCCCTTGTTTGCGGCCGGCTTCTTAGATGGCACCTGTTAAGTACTCTGTGGTTCACAAAAGACGGAGGCTGGTGTATTTCGGGGATGGTAACTTACTTAAGTCACAGTAACAGAGTAGAAGCAATCATTCCACTTACGGAGGAAGCGAAGGCATTATGTTCAGTATGTTTATCTGGAAGTTGTGTCTGTGTATTTTATCCGGAAAGATGGCCTTCACCCTGAGTCTGTACGTGGAAGGCGAGGCTGGGGGCAGCGTGCGTTGGCTAGAAGCATTGTTCCCTCAAGCTCCCGTAGAGCACCGTCCCCTGCCGAGACTCCACAGCGTTCATCTGTATCTCCTTCAGCATCCAGTCGGAAGTGTCCTTTGAGGGGGCCTATGGGAATCTCAAGCGGCTGTATGACAAGGCAGCCAAAATGTACCACCAGTTGAAGAAGTGCGAGGCTCGGAAACTGTCTCCCAGCAAGAAGCGGTGCGTAGGGCCTGTGGGCCGGAGGGGTCTCTGCGGCTGGTGTGGTGGGACTGGAGGGGCTCTGGAGCCATTTGCCATTTCCCTTGGGTTCCTCTTCCAGATGTAAAGATATCAAGAGGTTGCTAGTGAACTTCATGTACCTGCAAAGCCTCCTGCAGCCCAGGAGCAGGTGAGCACAAGAGGGCAGGCCCTTGGCCTGTGTCCCGTGAGCCCCACCAGGGCGGCTCTCTCTGTGGCCGTCCCTGTGCCCACGGCTCCTCGTGCCTGCCCCCGACTGAGTCACGGACCTCCCTGTCGCTCCTGCCCTTCTGCAGCCCGGTGGACTCAGAGCTGACGTCACTCTGCCAGTCAGTCCTGGAGGACTTCAACCTCTGCCTCTTCTACCTGCCCCCGTCCCCCAGCCTCAGCCTGGCCAGCGAGGGCGAGGAGGACTATGAGGGCGGCTACGCTTTCCTCCCGGACCTCCTCATCTTTCAGATGGTCATCATCTGTCTCATGGGCGTGCACAGCTTGAAGAGAGCAGGTAACTCCCTGTGCCCCGCCTTCTCCCCTGGGGCTGCTGGGGGCCTTGCTGCCCAACTTCCAGGAGCATTTGGCTGTGGGTGTGAGGGCCGGGGAACCCTACCCTGAAGGATCTGCTGGGGAAGGAACAGAGGCCACAGCCTATCTCCACCCCCCTCCCAGACACACTCTTGGCCACAGCCCGCAGACAGGAGAGGCAGGATACTTAGCTGATGACCCAGACAGAATTCAGACTTCGCTGCGGGGGCGCTCGGGCAGTTGTGCAGACCTTTCTGCAGCGGGCCACGTGGAGCCGAGTCGGGAGGGAGGGGGCGGCAGGGCCGGTGTGTGGTGCTGGGCTGCGAGGAGGAGCCCGCGTGAAGGCATCAGAGCCAGGGAGAATGGCGTGGGGCTAGAGGATATGCTTACCTGGGCACACGGAGTGGGCTGGTACGTTCTAGACGACGGGATAATCACGCAGAGACCTGAGAAGGCTTTTCTCCTTAGAAGAAGCTTTGAGAAGTAGTTGGATCCTTGGAAGGGTGGAGAACAGGTGAGATGGGGCTGGAGTGAACGGCACCTCCTCCTCACAGCCCTGGGCCCCTGATGCCTGGCTGTCCTGGCTTTAGGCTCCAAGCAATACAGCGCGGCCATTGCCTTCACCCTGGCCCTCTTCTCCCACCTGGTCAACCACGTCAATATACGGCTGCAGGCTGAGCTGGAGGAGGGCGAGAACCCCGTGCCGACGTTCCAGAGCGAAGGCACAGGTGCAGGCTGGGGCGATGCGACCGGCTGGGTCAGCCTGGGGCGGATGACGGAGGGAGGGGGCGTGGGTGTGGCTCGGGAGGAGGTGTTGAAGAGCACCTTCCAACTTCCGGGCTCCAGTTTGTCCCGAGGCCCCGCCTGACTGTCCTCTCTGCACAGATGAGCCCTTGGAGAAGGAGGAGGCGCCAGGCCCTGAGCCCCCTCCCGCAGCACCTCCTGCAGCACCTCCCTCAGGTGAGGTCAGAAAGAGCCGGAAGTTCTCCCGTCTCTCCTGCCTCCGCCGTCGCCGCCACCCACCCAGAGCTGGAGAGGACAGTGACCTGAGCGAAGGCTTCGACTCAGACTCCAGCCACGACTCGGCCAGGGCCAGCGAGGGCTCGGACAGTGGGTCCGACAAGAGTCTCGAAGGTGGGGGAACGGCCTTTGATGCTGAGACAGACTCAGAAATGAACAGCCAGGAGTCCCGGTCAGACCTGGAAGACATGGAGGATGAGGAGGGGACACGGTCCCCAGCCCTGGAGCCTGCTCGGCCCAGGTCAGAGGCTCCCGAGTCTCTCAATGGCCCCCTGGGCCCCGGTGAAGATAGCATTGCCAGCAACCTGCAAGCCATGTCCACCCAGATGTTCCAGACCAAGCGCTGCTTCCGACTGGCCCCCACCTTCAGCAACCTGCTCCTCCAGCCCCCCAGCGAACCTCACATCGTGGCCAGCCGCACACCCTGTGTCAACGGAGATGCGGACAAGCCCTCGGAGCCAGGTAGCTCTTCGGGCTGCTCTGGTCCGCACTTGCCGCCATCGCCCCGAAGAGGCGGCTTGCCTGTCTCTGCAGGAGCCTCCCCGCCCCGCCTCGCTGCCTTCCCTGCTTCCTCTGGTCCGGGCCAGGAGTGTTGTCCTGAGAATCCCCACTGCTGCTGGCGTTCTGCCCCGTGAGTGTGGGGCTTGCCTCCCCACACGACCACTGCCACCGGCCCTCGGCCCACCAGGGGACCTCTCTCCCGAGGCTCTTCCCCACACAGGAGGCGCCCAGTGCCTGCTTTCTCAGGCGCCGGGCTGGACTGTTGTCGGCTGTTGTCTTGTTGAACTTTCTCAGCACTCTTTTGGGGGAAGAGTTCTCATCCCTCTTCTAAATGCTGCCCCTTGCCCCTGGCCTGTTGCTTGGCTCATTCTTACTTGCCCTCTGGCGTTCCCTTAGAAATCACTGGGTCTAGGCTTCTTCTGAGGCCAGGGGAGATTTCCTCCCCGTGGGCTCCTGTAGCCTCTGCCCCGCCACAGCCTCTAGGCCTCTCCCACTCAGGCGTACTTGTCGGTTGGCTTGTCTGTCTCTCCAGCGAGACCATGAGCCTCGTGGGGGCAGGACAGTGTGTGTTTGCTCTGTCCTTGGATTCTCAGTTCCTCACGCCGTGCCTGTACATGGGTGGGACGCAGGGAACGCTTCAGGGATAGAAGCAGCTAGGAAGCCAGGATGCAGAGCTGGAGCGGTCTGCTCCGTGCTCTGACCTGCCAGGTTAAAGAGGTAGGAGGTGGGGGTCGTCCTTTTTTTTTTCTTTTTTTTTTCAAGATTTTATTTATTTATTTGACAGAGAGAGACACAGCGAGAGAAGGAACACAAGCAGGGGGAGTGGGAGAGGGAGAAGCAGACTCCCGCAGAGCAGGGAGCCCGATGCAGGGCTCGGTCCCAGGACCCTGGGACCATGACCTGAGCCGAAGGCAGACACCTAACGACTGAGCCACCCAGGCGCCCCATTTTTTTTTTAATTCAGATTATTTATTAGCATGTGTCTGCGTGAGGGGGGAGAAGCGGAGAGGGAGGGGAAGGGGGAGAGAGAATCCCAAGCTGACTCCGTGCTGAGCGCAGAGCCTGACACGGGGCTCGATCTCACAGACCCTGAGATTGTGACCTGAGCTGAAACCAGGAGTCAGACACTTAACCGAGTGAGCCACCCAGGCACCTTGGGGGTGTTTCTTTTAATTCTGTATGCCTTTTCTCCCTCCCTGACAGCTCCCTTCTGATTGTCTGCCCTGCTTTCTAGCAGAGAGTAGACCTTTTATAAACGCTGGTTGAGAGAATAGCTGTAGACCACCCTCCCAATTTAGCTTGAGACAGAAAGAAGTGTATTTTGTTTTTGTTTTTTGTGTTATTTTATTTTTATTTATTTATTTATTTATTTATTCTTATGTTAATCCCCATACATTACATCATTAGTTTTAGTATTTTATTTTTTTTAAAGATTTTATTTGACAGAGAGAGACACAGCTAGAGAGGGAACACAAGCAGGGGGAGAGGGAGAAGCAGGCCTCCTGCAGAGTGAGGAGCCCAATGCAGGGCTCGATCCCAGGACCCCGGGATCATGACCTGAGCCGAAGGCAGATGCTTAACGACTGGGCCACCCAGGCGCCCCTGTATTTTGTTTTATTTATTCTTTTTCAGTAGGCTCCACACCTGGTGTGGAGCGCAGCACAGGGCTTGAACTCATGACCCTGAGATCAAGACCTGAGCTGAGATCAAGAGTCCAACATTTAACCGACTGAGCCACCTAGGGGCCCCAGAAAGAAACATTTTTTGTTTTTGTTTTTAAGATTTTATTTATCTGTCAGAGCACAAGCAGGGGGAGCGGCAGGCAGAGGGAGATGGAAAAGCAGGCTCCCCACTGAGCAGGGAGCCAGATGCAGGGCTCGATCCCAGGCCCCTGAGATCATGACCTGAGTCGAAGGCAGACGCTTAACCGACTGAGCCACCCAGGCGTCTCAAGAAGGGTGGAGGCAGCAGTCTCTTGGCTTAAAAGCATCAGGTTAGTGGGCGTAGAAGGATTAAGCAGGAGTGCGTAGCGAGTTCCCCATCTTTCACATTAGAACTGCTCCAGAGGGCAGGCAGGGCGAGCGTGCCCCCGGCCTGGAGCTGAAGCCCGATGCCACGTGCCTGCTGTTCATCCTGGCTCTCTGTCCCCCACCCCAGCCTCTGAGGAGGGCTCCGAGTCGGAGGGCAGTGAGTCCAGCGGGCACTCCTGTCGGAATGAGCGCAGCGTCCAGGAGAAGCTACAAGTTTTGGCGGCCGAAGGCTTGCTTCCCGCCGTGAAGGTCTTCCTGGACTGGTTGCGGGCCAACCCTGACCTCATCGTCGTGTGTGCGCAGGTGCGGCACTCCGGGCGTCGGGGGGAAGCACAGCCTGGAGGCCCCTCAGCTGCTTCCATCACCACAGAAGTGACGGCAGGCATCTGCTTTGCGTGGGCCTTAGGCTTTTAACAAGGAAAAGGATTAGACATGATCTCTGCCCTCCAGGAGCCTGTGGCCCGGGCTGAGGCCCAAAGTCCGTGGATGGGGAAAGCGCTTAGTCTGCTTCATGCCTCTCGCACCGGCCGTACCGCCTGTCGTCAGGACTGGGGTCGATGAAGGCGTGTGTGTGAGGGCCGGCCTTGAGCCTGGTCCTGGAGTCCAGAGGGAGGAGGGGGCACCGAGTGGTGCCAGGGAGACGGGACCCAGCGGTGGCAGGACCACCAGACAGGGTGGAGGCGTTGGGGCAGGGGAGCAGTGGGTGGAGGGCATGGTGTCAGGCTGGCGCTGTGGAGGTGGGGGGCGCAGGCGCCTTCTCCCCAGGTTCAGTCTGCCTTGATCCTTGAGGGCCCGGCGGTTTTTTCCCGTGTTGCTTTATCCCAGGAACACATCTGCTGTGCCGTGGAAGACTCCTCCCCTGTAGGTCGCTGTCCTCCCCAGATGAAAGTTGGGGTTAGGGCCAGGCACACCCTTGGGTGCGTGCTTAAGTGTGCTGGCAGCGAGTTACTCACCACCCTTAGTCATCAGGTGTGCTAAAGATGGGGATGTGGGGTCACATTCCCACACAGGTGTCCCAGGATGGGCACACAGAGGGCTGAATGACGGGGAGAAGCCGCCTCCAGCCCTCTAGCTTTTCCCACTCCCAGAATCCAGAGTGTCCTTTCTGTGGCCTCACACCTTCTCCCCATGACCTTGCTGCTGGTGATGAAGTTCAGCCAGGCCCGTGGTTCCCCCTTCATTCCTCATGGGATTAGCTCCCTGTTTTCCAGGTCTCCCAGGAGTCCCCCCTTGGCCTCTTTAGTTAATTTTTCTATCAGATCGCTCTAGGCCTATGGCCATAGCCCCTGGACCCCCCAGGCGTCCTGCTTTTCTCGCCCCCCACTCCGCTGAAGGCCTCCCCTCTCCACAGAGCTCTCAAAGTCTGTGGAATCGCCTGTCTGTGTTGCTGAACCTGTTGCCAGCTGCTGGTGAGCTCCAGGAGTCTGGTGAGTGGGTGCCCAGCACCGCCGCCCTTCCCCTTTCCCTCGTGGCCCCACGAAGCCCAGCCCCCTCCCTGGTAACCCAGCCTGGGGAGAAGGAGGTTAATGGGACTCACCCGCCACCCTGACACACAGCAGCCATTGTGGTGTCTGCGTCTCCGGTTTCCCCCAACACTGCCTCACTGTGGGCAGGTGGCCTGGTTGGCCAGGGAGTGTGCTCCCCGGGGAAGGCCATGGGGCAGGCAGGAGCGGAGAGAGGCGAGCCTGAGAGCCAGCCCCGGTTGCTGAGAGTCCTCCTGGGCCTCCAGAGCTCACCTCCTCCTGCCACCTGCAGCTGCACCTGTCCTCTGGTTCCCACCTCTGGCCTCACCTGAGAGGTGTGTACGTCCCCCTCCAGAGCCTGCCTCGGGTCCACCCTGGTGTCGGGGAGCCTTTTGCATCGGAGCCCATTGCTCCCCATGCCTGCCCTGCTCCCCCAACCCCACCAGCTCTGGTCTCCGCGAGCCATGTGGGATGGCTCTGTGTGCTCATCTCCCTGTTCTCCCAGGGGAAGGGCTGTGTTCCTCTGGGGGCTCCCACAGGGCAGGTGGTCTCACGCGTCTTCTCTCCAGGCCTGGCCCTGTGTCCCGAGGTCCAAGACCTTCTCGAAGGTTGTGAACTGCCTGACCTGCCCTCCAGCCTGCTGCTCCCAGAGGACACAGCCCTTCGTAATCTGCCTCCCCTCCGGGCTGCCCATCGACGCTTTAACTTTGACACGGATCGGTCCCTGCTTAGCACCTTAGAGGAGGTGAGCATGGCGTTTCTGACGCCACCAGCTCTGTTGTTAGTCCAGCCCCACAGCGAAGCAGGTGGCCCTCCTGTCCAGACAGGCAGGGTGTCCTCAGGGCTGGGCTGGCCGTGCCTCCTTCGTGAGCCGCGGAGCTTGCTCCCCTTCCCGCGGGCTGCTCCTTTATGGGGTGTCTGCTCGTGGGCTTCCCTCCACCATGTCCACCTTTTGCAGAGGGTGGAATGGGGGGGGCCATTAGGGCTTAGGAGCTGTTCTCATGCTCTTCTCCACTCTGGGTACAGTGTCCTGTGAGCTGGATAGGAGGCCGTCGAGAGCTGGAAGGGGGAATGCTGCCCGCCCAGGCCGGTCACCCTTGCGTCTGCCTTCCGGAGTGGGCCGCCTGGGGACGGCAGGGGAAGCAGAGCAGACAGGCTCCCGGCGCCCTCGCCGGCACTCGCATGGGCTTCTTGCTTGCTCCTCTCCAGCCAGAGCACCTTGGCTCTAGTCTGTTTCATATTTTAGGGTTCTAGAGATTTTTGTTTGATGGGGAAGAATTGTTTTGCCAACCAAAAAAGTGGCTCAGTTCCCTCGTTTTTCCACGCAAGACCCCAAGGAGGGAGGTGGCGTGAGCGCCCAGGTCCTCCCATTCTCAGCCTGGTGCACTGCCTATTCTGTCTCCACCTGAGTCCTGGTTCACTAGTCCTGCCTGGAGTCTCCTTTCCTGGCATCTCGAGGCTCTGGGTCTCGGGGCTCCCCTCTCCCACCCTCCAGACCACTGGCCTTTCCAAGGAGCCCCCGCCTGACCGGCTCCCGCATCCCCTCACAGTCGGTCGTGCGCATTTGCTGCATCCGCAGCTTTGGCCACTTCGTGGCCCGCCTGCAAGGCAGCATCCTGCAGTTCAGCACGGAGGCCGGCATTTTCGTGAGCATCGCCCAGTCGGAGCAGGAGGGCGTGCTGCAACAGGCCCAGGCGCAGTTCCGCATGGTGAGTTGTCCTGCCTGCCCTCCCTGTGTGCCCCGCTCCCGCCGGGCACGCTGAGAAAGCAAGCCTAAGAGGCCCCTGATGGACTGGGGGCCCCTGATGGAAGAGCGCAGTGATGGGGGCTGTGGGTGGGCCAGCAGACAGGGAGGGAGCGGTGCTTTGAGTAGAGGCAGCGTGGCACCAGGCCTGTGTCCCGACTGCCTGGGCTTAAGGGCCGTCTCTGTCCCCCCCCCCCCCCCGAGTCCGAGCTCCTTGCTAAGCCTGTGTCATAGGGTAGTTGTGACGCTAGGAGGAGCGTGTGTCTCGGGCACCGTGCGTGCTCAGCCGGTGCTCCTGGCCCTTCCTCTCTGGGGGCTGCAGACTGGGGGCGGGGGGAGTGGCAGGATCCGGGTATCAGATGCCAGGCAGGATCCTTTCCTCCAGGAGCCCCAGAAAATAGGTGGCCAGGGTTACCTCCTCTCCATTCAGAATCTGGTCCCCACACTGACCGAGCGTCTGCTCTGTGCCGGGCCTGTCTGCTCTGTGGGTACCGGGGTCACAGCAGCAAACAAAATAGTCTCTTTGTGGGGCTGACGCTCAGGGAGCAAAGTCCAGGCTCTGCGCCGGGGCCTGCCCCGCTCTGAGCGCGCTCTCCTCCCAGCTGGATGGCAGTACATTCGGGGGGGGGGGGGCGTCTGGCACTGACACAGCCCACGTGTCTCTGCAAACGTCCATGGTTCTTCTTCGTCCCAAGCTGCAGGCCTCCCGGCCTCTCTGAGCACCCCCTTCCTGCGGATGTTGCACGTGGCTGGGAAGGAGCAAAGGCTCACCAGAAACTCCCTTCTTTGCAATCTTAAAAGCAAGCTCGTTTTGTTCAAAAAAAACACCTTTTGTGTTAATGCTTTTGTTGCTGTTCTGTAGAGGAAAACGCATAATTACAAAGGTAATCATGGGGAAATTACACAGCTTTAAAAAGTGGTAGCTTTTGCAGGCATTTCCTTTAGCTTAAAGCTCCAAGACTCTTCCTCAGGGACAGGGAGCACCTGAAAGCCCCTCGCGGGTGGTGCTGGACCCTGAGGTCACATCGTCTGCTGGGACTGCCCCCTGCACTGCTGAGTGGCACATGTCCACCCTTCATCCCTTAGCAGCAATCGTGGCCATCCCCATATTGACATCTGCCATCACGTATTGAGAGCTTTCTGCGTGCCAAGCCGAGTTGGCCCGGGACAGCTCATTCGACCTTGGGCGCAGCTCTGCGAGGTGCTCTTACCCTCTCCTGCACTCGCCCAGGGCGCACAGAACCACGGAAGACAGACTGTCCGTGGCAGAGCCAGGGCTCTGGGATTGGGCAGACTGGCTCTTCTAAGCTGCCATGGGGCGCGGCTTCTCTGCGGGCCCACTGGGTGCCAGGGGCCGCTGCTCCTGCTTTGGGACGCCAGCATCTGCCCGGGTTAGGGACCCATCTTTCCTGTGGTTCCTCAGGTGTTCCCTGAGGACGGCAGAGGCCCACATCTCTGAGCCGCTGGCCCGGGGATGCCAGAGCCCGAGGGTGGTGCAGCTCTGCCCTTCCTGGATCCAGATGGATGCCCGCTCCCCCCCCCCCCCAGCAGAGGGGCATCACAATTCCAATTCTAGCCTGAAAGGCTGCTCCCTGGGCTTGATTCCTACAGACAGCGCTCCCCGTCCTCGCCAGTCCACCGGCGGTGCCTGCTCGGGTGCCTCCTCCTCTCCTTGCTGCACCCGGGTTTCTCCAAGGGGCCGCTCTGTCATGCAGACTCTGCAGGGACGTAGGTGCATCTTGCACAACCAAGACGTCGGGACGGTGCAGTACTGTTAACCATAGACTTTTTTCAGATTTCACTAGATTTTCTACTGACGTCTGTTTTCTTTTTTGTTTTTTTAAAGATTTTATTTATTTATTAGAGAGGGAGCAGGAGGAAGAGAGCACGAGCAGGGGGAGGGGCAGAGGGAGAGGCCAAGCAGGGAGCGCGATGCGGGGCTCGACCCCAGGACCCAGGGACCATGACCTGAGCTGAAGGCAGATGCTTAATGACTGAGCCACCCAGGGACCCCTAATGTCTGTTTTCTTTCCCAGGCTCTCCCATTATGTTGGGTTGTGTGCCTCCTGGGTCTGCTCTGGGCTGTGACAGTTCCTCAGTTTTCCTTTCGTGACCTTGACACTTCAGAGGAGTATTGGTCAATTATTTTGTAGGATGTCACTCAACCTGGCTTTGTCCAGACACGTCTTGGCCACGTGTTCTCGTGGTTAGAATGTGATTATACATTCAGGCTTAATGTTGTAAAGCACCGCTCTGAGGATGTCACTTTGCCCATCAGAGAGCCTTCGGTGGCCACCTCCCAGCTGATATTTAAGGATAAGTCCCCATCCTTAATCTCGTCTTAATTTTTTTTTTTTAAGATTTTATTTATTTGGCAGCGAGAGAGGGAACACAAGCAGGGGGAGTGGGAGAGGGAGAAGCAGGCTTCCCGCTGAGCAGGGAGCCTGATGTGGGGCCATGACCTGAGCCGAAGGCAGACGCTTAACGACTGAGCCACCCAGGCGCCCCCTTAATCTCATCTTTACACCACGTTAGGGAATTTGGGCTTCATCCAGAAGACAGAAGGAAACCATCAGAGGACTTTTTTTTTTTTTTTAAGATTTTATTTATTTATTTGAGACAGAATGAGAGAGAGAGAGCACATGAGAGGGGGGAGGGTCAGAGGGAGAAGCAGACTCCCTGCCGAGCAGGGAGCCCGATGCGGGACTCGATCCTGGGACTCCAGGATCATGACCTGAGCCGAAGGCAGTCGCTTAACCAACTGAGCCACCCAGGCGCCCCATCAGAGGACTTTTAATCGGGGCCACGGTGCACAGCAGATGGCGTCTGGTTGCCGGCGGGGAAGGTGGCTGGGGGTAGGGGCGCGGGCCAGGGAGGAGGAGGTGGGAGGAACCAGCTTAGGGGGTCACGCGGTGGAGGGGAGCGGAAGGGTGTGAGCGATTTTTAGGCGGTGCGGTCGGCAGGACGGGGAAGCGGTGACGGGGAGCCGTGAGGGAACGGTCGGTCACAGCCCGCTTCGCCGCCGCTGCCTCGTGCACATGGTGGCTGGTTTCCCACATCCGGGAACCACCAGAAGGGCAGCAGCAAGTTTGGAGGAGCGGGGGGCGGGGGCTGTGTGGGCTGGAGCTGCGGATTTGGAAGAAGTTGGCGAGTGGATGGTGATAGAAGGTGGGGTGTGCGGGGACCGCACGGAGCAGAGGGGCAGAGCGGGAAGCCTGACGTGCAGCCAGGCGCTCCTCTCCGAGCGCCTGGGCCAGCGAGAGCTTCAGCGCGGGTCCCGGGTCCTTCTCCGCCAGAGGAGTGGTTTGTCTCCCGAGCCTCTCTTGGCGCGAGCGAGAGAGCTGACTTCACATGAGGGCTTCCTGTTTCAGACCCTGGGAGTTCTTCTCAGATAATCTGTTACACCTCTTGATCGCTGGGGAAAGGACTGTGGCCCCAGCTCTTGGTCCCAAGCTTAGCATGTGTTTCTCCTCATAGGCACAGGAGGAAGCCCGTCGGAACAGGCTGATGAGAGACATGGCCCAGCTGCGACTTCAGGTGGGCAGTCGGGACCCAGCTGCTCCTGTTCTTGATCTGGTCATTGGCCAGGCCCCAGCGGCAGACCATCCCCTCCAGCCGCTGCCCCCTGCTCTGTTGCACAGCTCCCGTTTGGTTCCGCTGCCTCCCCTACCCCCGTTCCACTGTGCCCCCCCCAGCTCTGTTCCGTCTCCCCGCTTCTGTGGTGGCCTTCACTTTAACCGCATCGCCTCCCAGAATTCCTTTCCGTGCCCATTTCCTCACTGAGCCTTGATGGCCCCTTTCTGCCTTCTCTGCTGTCTTTCCTTTCTCTTCTCCTTCCCTTCTTCCCGCCCCCCTTTCCTCCAAGGCCTTGGTGTAGGGAGCCCCCTGCCCCCTTTGCAGCAGGAGATGCCCCATGAGGGCCCCTTTGGGTTCCATCCTCCCCGCCCAGGCTGCAGGGCCCACGCAGCCCCACACTCTGCCCTCTGTCCTCAGCTCGAGGTCTCTCAGCTGGAAGGGAGCCTGCAGCAGCCCAAGGCCCAGTCGGCAATGTCTCCCTACCTCGTCCCCGACACCCAGGCCCTCTGCCACCACCTCCCGGTCATCCGCCAGCTGGCCACCAGCGGCCGCTTCATTGTCATCATCCCAAGGACAGGTAGGCGTGCTGGGAGGTGGGGCAGGGTGTGGCTAAGAAGAGACTTCGGCTTGCGATGGAGAAGTGCTCATGGGGGCCCAGTTTCCATACCGTGGCCTCGGTCAGGTCCTGCCACCTTTCTAAAGCTCGGTCACTTCGTCTGTGGAACGCGCGTGACCGTCCCTGTTAAATTCTGACTCGCGAGATGGTTAGAAATGAGAGGAAAATCTAAGCGAACGCACTTGCTCGAGTGCCGGCTCTGCTGCTCGCAGAAGGCCGTGCTTCGGAAGAGCTCGGAGCCGCGTAGGAGCCCCGGGCCCTGCTTCTCCTGCAGCGGGGGGCTGGGGGACCCCCGCGAGCTCAGCCGCTTCCTGCGGAGCCCTGGGCCACAGCAGCGAGAGCTCACCTGTTGCATCCTTCCCCACCCCCACCTTGTCCTCCAGTGATCGATGGCCTGGACTTGCTGAAGAAGGAACACCCAGGGGCCCGGGATGGGATCCGATACTTGGAGGCAGAGTTTAAGAAAGGAAACAGGTGAGTGTGGGCCTGGCTGGGCCTCTCTCGAGCCCCGGGTCAGGCTCCCCGACAAGAGTGTTTGTCCCTGGCTCCCCACCAGTAAGACACACACTTGCAGAGATGAGATTACAGGTCAGGGTCTCAGGTGTGGATGGAGGGTGGTCACGGGGGACACCGACCTGCTGTCTCTTTGCCTCTGGGGCAGACACGAGGTCAGCATCAGCAGGGAGATGGGGGCAGGACCTTCCCTTCCCCCCAGCTCTGGGCTGTGGGCTCCTTGGCAGGAGTTTCTGCTGTTTTAGGGTTGGGCCGCGTGATCAGGGGTACCAGGGTGCCCTCCCCGTTGCAGCTAGCCAGGGACTGGCAGGTGGCGGCGTGTTGGTGCTCAGGCCCACACATGCCTGCCCTCCTGCGCTCCGGGGCTGGGAGAGTAGCGGGCGGCGGGCGCAGTAGAGGGAGAAACTGGCCCTTGCTCCCCGGCTCCCCTGCCGCCTCTGCCCGGGCAGGAAGCCGCACAAAGCCTGCTTGTTTGGACCTTGTCTGCAGAAGCCCTGACTTGAAAAGCATCTGCTGTTTCTCCCTTCTCAGCTCCTCCCCTGGGAGGAACCGAAGGATCGATGTTATCAGGAGGAGGAAAAGCGAGCTGGGCTCAGTGGCCAGGAAGCTCCTTTGAAATGGCTCCCAACAGAGCTGTGATGGGAGAGACTGGGCCCCCTCCCCTGGGCCACAGCGAGGTGCTTTGTGGGAGGCGCTCCGCCTCCTCTGACCCCCCCCTCCCGCCCTGCTGTCTCCCTCGCAGGTATATTCGCTGCCAGAAAGAGGTGGGAAAGAGCTTCGAGCGGCATAAGCTGAAGAGGCAGGATGCAGACGCCTGGTAAAATGCCAGCCCCGTGCTCCTAGAACCTCAGCTAGGCTGTCCGCCTCGCTCCTCTCCGACCTCTCCCTGGGCCAGATGGTCCTGCAGCAGCTAGAGGGACCAGCCTGGTCACGCTCAGCCCGCCAGGGCGTCCTGCGCCTGTCCCCTGCGGGGCGGGAGAAGGGGCTCTAGCCCCGGAGCCCCTGTGGCTCTGAGATGCCGGGGCTTGGTGTCCCCGCTCAGTGTCCCTCTGCCCACTCCCTGAGGACACTCTCCAGAACCACTGCCCTGGCCGCCTGGTTTCTCCTGCTCGCTCTCCTGCTGCCCTCCCTGTCCCCAGCTTCCCCTGGGCCCTGGGGATCCTGGCGTCCGGGCTGCGCTCATGCTGGGGCTTGGCCCACCTCCTCTTCCTACCAGGACTCTCTATAAGATCCTGGACAGCTGCAAACAGTTGACTCTGGCCCAGGGGGCAGGTGAGGAGGACCCGAGCGGCATGGTGACCATCGTCACAGGCCTTCCACTGGACAACCCCGGTGCGCTCTCAGGCCCTATGCAGGTAGGTCCGTGAGGTGGGGGGATAGGGGTGAATGGGGAAGAGGTGCAAAGGGACTCTCTTCTCAGAACACTCCACACACTTGCTTTTCTTGCTTCCCCCATCCGTTAGGCAGCTCTGCAGGCCGCCGCACACGCCAGTGTGGACATCAAGAATGTTCTGGACTTCTACAAGCAGTGGAAGGAGATTGGTTGAGACGGACCCCCAGGCCCTGCAGTGGGGCTGCATCCAGATCTCTCCTGCCCTCCCTGGCAGCCAGGACCACCACCTGTAGTCACCCCACCACACGCAGACTCACGCACGCACGCAGGAAGGAAGCCCAGCTGCACACAGGCCGCAGGGAGGGCCCGGGAGCCACAGGGAGGGCCCAGAGCCGGCTGGGAGGGCGGGTCCCCCTGTCGCCAAGACGACGTCAGGAAAGTGGGGGAAGTGCTGGGCGCAGGAGAGGCCTGTGGGCCCCCAGCCAGCCCTTCTGCCTCAGCCCCCTGCTGTCACCAGGGGCAGGTGGCAGGCGTGGGCGTCTGCGTTCCATTGGAGTGGTTTGTGGACCTCTGAGGGGAAGGGACAGCAGAAGGGCCCCCCTTCCTCACTCAAGACGCAGGGTGGTTGGCGTCAGGAGTTGGATCCTCTGGTGCCAGGGGAGGAATTGGGTAACACCGGATGTGTGGGTGGTTCTCTGCAGACCCTTCCCCTCCTGGAGGACCCCCCATCCTCCCCTCCCTTTGCACAGGCGGGGGCAGTTCTGGAGCCATGGGGACTCTTCCAGAAGAGGGCCTGGAGCTGCTGGCACCAAGAGCAGGGCCAGGGCTCGCCCCCTCCTGCTGCTGTGGGAGCCACGCACCCAGCCGCCCCACTTCTGCCCTCGCTCCGCGTCTGCCCAGCTTCCAGGGCACGGAGCAGGCCCCTCTTGACGGCAGGCTGGCCCCGTGGGCCAGCGAGGGTCCCGGGCCCACCAGCCCCACAGTCGTGATCTGTGCAGGGGGCGGAGTGCGATGCCAGGAAGGGGGGGGTGCGGTGCCAGGCCACCAGCCCCCTGACGGTCTGGGAGAGGCCTGCGTGGAGGTGGGCCGCAGAGAGGAGGGGCCCGTCGAGCTGCCTGGTCGGGGGCCTGCTGTCCTACTGGGGCTGAGCATGGGGCTCGCTTGCTCGTGGCCGGTGGCGAGGTGAACGCGGGAGCCGAGATCATGAATCGCTCAGGGCAGGCGTGGGGGAGGCTCTGGCCCGGGCCGCCTCGGCCCCTTGCCCTGGGGCTGGCCAGGAGCTCGTGGGAGGGGGCGGCGGGGCTCGGCTCTGCCGCCCCCACCCCAGCGCTAGCCTAGCTTCCCAGGCTGTTCTCAGAGGAGAGCAGGCTTCTTGCCTCCTTCCTCTAAGACAGCAAGTCTGGGACGACCTGGGGGCAGTGGGGTCACCCCGACTCCCAGTCCCTGGCAGAGACTGAGACTAAAGCATCACTTAATAAAGATCCCTCGAAGCCCACCCCGTCTCCTGGTGCCGTTCTGTCCAGTTGTACTGGGATGCGGGCGCTTTCTTGCCGAAACGGCGTCTCGGGAAGGTTTCTCCGAGGCGACCCCTCGACGCAAGAAGCCAGCAACTCGGGCGGGAGCTCTGGGGCTGGTTGTGTGGGCGGCACCCCCCCCATGCGCTGGCCCCGTGAGCACCTGGTGCCTTCGCAGGGGCGCTGGGTGCCAGCTCGGGGAAGACTGGATGGAGCTCTTCCTCCGGGGGCCGTGGGCGGGAGCCTGGAGACCAGCCTCTGGAGCCTCGGCCCCCGTCCCCCTGCCAGGACCAGCTCGTCCAGTGTGTCGGGGTGAACAGGCACCCGGCTTCCCCGGTGCTTCACAGCACCTCCTGAAGGCCTTCGCTCTGGGCTCTGCCCGGCACTGGGCGCTAAGAGGCACCGGAGCCCAGGGAGAGGGGCCTTCGGAGGTCACAAGTCGGGACTTGGGATTCCTGTGCCCAGCCTGAGGCAGAGCCCCCCGCTCCTGGCAGGAGCTGACCCCTCCGGCAGCCTGGCCTGCGGGGGGCTCGGCGTCGCCTTGCCTGTTGTAGCCAGTCTGATGTCCGTGGGCTTGGGTCAAGCTGGAGGGGCTGGCTGTGTGCAGGAGGCCGAGTGAGCTGCCTGCTAATGGGGCTGGGCCACCCCACGCTGCGCCCTGGGGACTGGACAAGGCTGGGATTGTTCCCCGGCTCCCCTTTGTCTCACTCCCCGCCCGGGCCAGGCCTGCCTGCCCGCCCACCACTCTCTCCCTCCCCGCAGCCTGGCTGGCTGGAGCCTGGGACTCTGCCGGAGGAGCCCTGGGCCTGCCGACCCACCGGCTTAGGAGCGCCCACCAAGCTCTGGGTAAGGCAGCTCAGCTGGGGCGTGACGCCTGCCCTGGGGGACCCGAAGTAAAGCGCCTGCTCCAGCCCGCTCCTCTGTTCCCATGGCCACAGCACACAGCCCTGCGGAGACCCTAAGCCCTGCGGCTAAAGGAAGGGACCCTGAGGGGAGCTAGGCCCCAGCGTCTTCACTCTCACCCGTGCCCCAGGGAGGTGGGCAGCACGCAGGATGGGTCGGACCAGCCCCATCCCACTCGTGGGAGGGGCGGGGATACCCGGGAGGCCTCGGCTCAAAGCTCGGCTGGGGCCCAGGGACAGGAGCCCGGGGTCCGCCCCTGCCCAGCAGGGCCGCCAGCACCCAGCTCGGAGGCGGAGAGGGCCTGGCAGGAGCAGAGGCTTGGGGGGCCCGCCCGCGGAGTGAGGTCCCCAGTGGGCGGCACACACGCAGACCGCCACCGGGGGAGGCCGGAAGACGGGCGGGGCCGGGCTGTATTGTCGCCGCGCGGTCTGGGCCGGGAGGGGGAGGGTCTTCTTCTCCCTCCCCGGGGGCGGCTCCACCCGCCCGGCTGGCCCAGCCCCTCCACCGGTGCCAAGGAATGTGCCGGGGAGGGGCGGGCGGGGCAGCGGAGCCGCGGCCGCGGGAGGCAGCGCACAGGTCTGGAGCTGAGGGGTACGGGGCTCAGGAGGGTCGGGGACCCCCGGGGCGCATGAGAAGTCCTTAGAGAAGAGCCAGACACCCCGCTAATTCGTTGCCCCTCCCACAGCCATCTGGCCTCTCCAGGAGTTCTCGGCAGCACCATCCGCTGGCTGTGCTCAGCCCCGGCTCTGTGGGCCAAGGGGCGTTCTGGTGGGGGGCAGGGGGTGCGTGAGCGCTCCCTGCACTGACCTCCCTGACTCAGGCTTCCCCGGAGACAGAAACTGGGGGCTGGGGACCCGGATCCAGGGTCTGGGGCTACTAACCGAGGCCGCCTTCGGGCTGGGGAGCACCCTGCCCTCAGTCCGTCCTGGGCTGAAGCTGAGCAGCCCCGGGGGGCCGGGGGCTGGGGGGGTGCTGAATACTCCAGGCTGGGATGGAGAGGGGGTCACGTGGTACGAGGACGGGGAAGCCAGCTCCCACCCACTCGTACAGGTGCGGGCACATCCCACCCTGGGTCCCAGTGACCAGGTCCGGCCTGGACCAGGGTGAGAAGGGGCCTGTGGATGGGGACAGATACCTGATGCCCTCACTCCGCACTTTGTCTCTAGGTCACAGTGCGGAGGTGCCGGGCCACCATGCTCAGTCTCAAGCTGCCCCAACTCCTTCGAGTCCACCAGGTCCCTCGGGTGAGGGGCTTGACCCACCAACTCCCACTCGCCAGGCTACTGACTGGGGCAGAGGCTCTTCCCTTTGAGCAGTTGGGCATGGGTGAGGGGGGCTCCTCCCTGCAGGCCGTCTTATCCCTGCCACCCCTCTGCTCTCTAAGGAACCTGCTGGCCACCCCTCCCTAGAGCCCAGAATGCTCCTCCACCCAGAGTCCCCTTCTTCCCCGGGCGCCCCAGCCCATGCCTCCTCTCTGGTCCCCTTCCCGCTGCCTCCTCGCTTTCTCCTCTGCTCTCTGGGCATTTGGGACCTGCGGCAAGATGGGGGTCGGATTTGGTTTGGCTTTGGGGCCGTGGTGACCTCCAGCCCGTTCTCTTCGACGCCGCTTGCAGAGATCGCTCCCGGGGAGGAAGGAGCGGGCCCAGTGACGCCCCTCCTGTGTCCCCCCCGCCCCGCCCCGCCCCGCACAGGTGTTCTGGGAAGACGGCATCATGTCTGGCTACCGCCGCCCCACCAGCTCGGCCCGGGACTGTGTCCTCAGCTCCTTCCAGATGACCAACGAGACGGTCAACATCTGGACTCACTTCCTGCCCACCTGGTGAGCGGCGCCCCGAGGGGGTCCTCGGCGGGCGGGGGCGGTGGGCGGCGGGCCTGAGCTCCTGCCCGCCGCAGGTACTTCGTGTGGCGCCTGCTGGCGCTGGCGGGGGGCCCGGGCTTCCGGGCGGAGCCGTACCACCGGCCGCTGCTCGTCTTCCTGCTGCCCGCCTGCCTCTACCCCTTCGCGTCGTGCTGCGCGCACACCTTCAGCTCCATGTCGCCCCGCGCGCGCCACATCTGCTACTTCCTGGACTACGGCGCGCTCAGCCTCTACAGCCTGGGTGAGCCCCGCGGGGCCGGGGCGGGGCCGGCGCGCTCGGGGGCGGGGCGGGGGCGGGGCCCGGGTGCTGGGGGGCGGGGCCGGGCGCGCCCTCGGGAACCTCAGCTGCAGCCCCGCCCCTTCCTCCCCAGGCTGCGCCTTCCCCTACGCCGCCTACTCCATGCCGGCCTCCTGGCTGCACAGCCGCCTGCACCAGCTCTTTGTGCCTGCCGCCGCACTCAATTCCTTCCTGTGCACCAGCCTCTCCTGCTACTCCCGGTGGGTGCTCCGCCAGTGCGGAAGGGGAAGGCGGAGGGACGGGACAGGGCACCCCCCAGACGCGCCGCCGGCTCTGGACCATTAGCAACAATGGCCCGGCTTATTGAGGGCTCACCGGGTGTCGCTCCTGCGGGCCAGCACCAAACCTGCGCTGTCTCCTTGAACGCTCACAGCCACCCCAGAGGGGGCAGGTGTCTACCCCCTCACAGACGTGGCCATTTCCAGAGGGGTCACATGCCCTAAGGGCTTTCACAGCCACTAGGCTACAGTGACATTCCATCTTGGCCAAAGGACCCCTGACCTTCGGTGACCGCCCCCCGAGAAAGGATGGTGAGCAGCCTTTCCCTCCCGCCTCCCAGGTTCCCGGAGCTAGAAAGCCCTGGGCTCAGTAAAGTCCTCCGCACGACTGCCTTCACCTATCCCTTCCTGTTCGACAACCTCCCTCTCTTCTACCGGGTAAGGGAGGCTGGGGTCCTGCCCTCCCCGCGCCCCAGACCCTCACCCCCAGAGGCCCTCCCCACCAGCTCTGCTTGTCCTCTGCCAGCTTGGACTGTGCTGGGACAGGGACCCCAGCTGCGGGCAGGAGGCGCTGAGCGCCGACCACAGCTACCATCTCCTCTGTGCGCTGCTCACTGGCTTCCTCTTCGCCTCCCACCTGCCCGAGCGGCTGGCCCCAGGGCGCTTTGACTACATCGGTGAGAGCTCGAGGGTGGTCCCCATCCAGGAAGGGGTGAGGGGACACAGCGTCCTAGAGTACAGAGTGAACAGAGTAATGGGGTATCACGGCCAGGGAGAGTGCCCGCGGTCCAGGCTCCCCCGCTCCTCAGATAACAAACTGGTAGCTTGGGTGCCGGGGGCCTTGCAGGTTCTCTTATTCCCAGTTCAGGGGGCAGCCCGCCCCGACGACGAAGTAGGGCAGCCGTGGGAACGGGGTCCATGCCCTAAGCCGCCCGCCCCCCGCAACAGGCCACAGCCACCAGCTCTTCCACATCTGCGCTGTGCTGGGCACCCACTTCCAGCTGGAGGCAGTGCTCGCTGACATGGGGTCTCGCCGAGCCTGGCTGGCCACGCAGGAACCCCCCCTGGGCCTGGCGGGCACGGTGGCCACGCTGGGCCTGGCGGTGGCCGGGAACCTGCTCATCATTGCTGCCTTCACAAGCTCCCTGTTTCGGGCCCCCAGCACCTGCCCCCTGCTGCACGGCGGCCCCCTGGAGGGGGGTATGAAGGCCAGACAGCAGTGAGGCCCCGTCTCTGAGCCTGCCCTGGGGGAAGGCAGAGGCCAGGCCCCGGTGCTGGGGAGGAGCCCCGACTCGGGCCTGACGGAGGTGGGGCACATCGGAGCCTGGAGCCAAGAGTGGCTGCGGAGAGCGAGCAGAGGAGAGGAGGGGGCAGGGGTGGTGCTGGCAGCAAGCAGGAGGGTCAGCAAGGGTGCGCTCAAGGGGGCCGGGGCAAGTGCTGAGGGTCTGAGAGGGGCAGCGCACGTGTCCAGGCTGGAGCTGGGGACAGGGCGGTGCCAGGGTCCTCACACCTGCTCCTGTTCCTGCCTGCAAGTCTCTGCCAAGCCCAGGGGAGCTCTAACACGACTAACCTAGGCCCACCCCGCGTGCTCGTGCGACAGGCCTGGAGACCCACGGTTGCCCTCGCCTCCCAAACCGGGCAGCACCATCTCCTGACAGCTCTCAGCCCACGGGCAAGAGTCTGTCTGCCCTGCTCACAGCTGTGTGCTCAAGGTGTCCAGGCCTTTGGGCCTCCGTGGGTGTCCTGGATGGTGCGGTGGGCTGGGTGGGCGGAGGGGTGCTGGGCTAGAGGGGGAACCCTAATAATTAGACTTTTAGGAAGCTCCTTTCGATGCTTCCAGATGAGGCGGGTACAAATAAATCAGTCGACAGCAGATTTGGGGAAGTACTTTCTGAGACTGAAGAGGGTACACCTCCTCTCCACTCCCATCCACCGCCCCCAAACTCCACAGATGGACAAAGACTCGCAGCCCCACCAATTCCTCTTCCGGAGTTTATTCTGGAGCAGCTGGGATGATGGGGACCCCACACTTGCGGGGCAGGGGGGCCGGGGAGAGGGGAGGGGAGCCAGGGTGGGGGCGCTGCCAGCCAGGCCAGCGGGGCTGCCTGCTCTAGACCGTGCCATAGAAGCGCTGGTAAGCGTCCTGGAAGCCGATGTGGTCAGCCAGCTCGTCACAGTGGGGGTTGAGCTCGCAGACTTCCCTCTTGAGCTCCAGGGGATCCGGGTAGGGGGCTGGGGCTCTGACACGCCAAGAGCGCGCCATCAGCCTCCACGACAAATGCCCGCCTCCTCCTCCCACGGCCCTGGGGGCTCCGCGGAGCCCTGGGCAGGGGGCTGCCCTCTCCCCGCCCATCCCCCAGGCTGGGCCCTGGAGAGCACTCACCCCAGCCAGGGGTCCAGGTAACGCCGGAGCCTCCTCACCACCTCGCTGCCCTCCTGCTTGGACACGAAGACTGTGGAGCAGAAAGGCAGGATCAGGTGGCTCAGGGCCTGGGAAGCACGGCGGGCAGCCCCGTGGAGTGATGCGCGCCCGCCCCCCACCAGGCCCTGCCTCATACCTGCACCTCTGCGGGACTCCGCACCGCTGGGCTTCGCATCTGCAAAGGAGAGGGCCCGGTTCACCCCTGCTCGTCCCTGGGGCTCCCCCACCAGGACAGAGCCTGCAGGAGGGTGGCTGGACCGGAGGCGGGGCACTCACCTGCTGCGCCAGCTAGGAAGAGTGCGACCAGGGCCAGTAGGGCGAGGACGGTCACGGGCCTCATGGCGGGTGTGTCCTGTCTGTCCGTGTCTGGGAGCGGCTGCCGGGCTGCTGCTGGGCCTCAGCTGGTCTGATTCTGGCCCTGCAGCCAGCACCCTTTATACTCTGGGTTGTGCCCTGGAGGCGAGGGGGGGGCACCCACCATGCTGTGGGTGGGTCACGGGAGGATCCACCAGGGCTATTTGGAAGTCATCCCCCCCAGCTCTGAAGGCCAAACCCCAAAGGATGTTGTGGTTGGAACTAGAGCTGCCTGGGCAGGCCCAGCCCCTCCCCAAGGGGTGCACCCCAAGTCCTCAGCTCCAGCCTGAGTTTGAGCATCAGCAGGGCAGGCCGGGAGAGGCGGGAGGGGAGCCTGGGGAGAAAGGGGGCTCCAGGTCTAAAACAGACTCCAGTAGGGCTGGGCTGCCTCTGGAAGGCTGTGATTTGCACTGCTGGCCCCAAGGGCAGGAGCCAAACCGCAGGGAGGGAGGGGCCCGAGGCAGCAATGCCCTGGTTCACCCGGAGGCAGAGGTGCCCTGCCCCTGCGGCCAGCAACGCCCAGTAACAGCAGGCCAGGGACCCGAAACCGTTGAGGTGGGCTGTCAGATAAAGACAGCTCTTCTGTTCAGGGCAGTGGGGACCCTCTCCCAGCGCCCCTCGCAGGGGGAGAGCAGGGCCTGTGAGGAGCCGGGAGACGGAGCGCACCTCTGACCCTCTGACCCTCCTCCTGCCCTGACGGCCTCCTCAAGGTTAACAACTGTGGGGGCCTATCAAGACACGGACGTCCAGTCCGAAAAACCCCATCCCAGCACAGCTGAGGGCCACGCCCACTCAGCCCCGCCTGGAGGGAGGACGTCCTCGAGCCCGGCCTCACTGCCCACCCCATGGCCTGCAGCCGGGCACGAGGGGGGTCTCCCGTGTGAATGCTGCGCCCCCACTGGGCTCAGTGTCCCCAGTGCCCCCAGACAGACCCAACCAAGCCTCCCCAGGGTGAGGCCCTCTCCAGGGAAAACAGTTTTGCGCCCCGCGTGTACCCATCCACTTCACCGGCGGGTCAGAGGAAGCGCCCATCTGCCTGTGTGTGCATGAGCTCACCACGCGCAACACTGAGGGAGGCCCGCCCGGGGCTTTCTCACAATGAACCCGAGTGGCAAAGAGAAGGGTGGAACCCAGGAGTCCTGGTCTCCATGCCGAGGGGCTCGCTGCCCCCCTGCACGTGATGGTCAGGTGCGCCCCCACCAGCCCACCCCAGCCTGGAGGCCCCCAGAGCAGCGCTGGGGCCTGGCGGGGGGCCTGGCGGGGAGCCCTGGCCCAGGAGAGGCTGGAGAGACCGAGCAGAGGAAGCATCCTCACAGATTACAGTGGAGGAAATTTATTTATGGATGTGGGGAGAACATGGCACAGTCCCTCGGGCTGACTGGCAAGGGGGCAATTGGGGCAGACCGAACACAGACTCCCCGAGCCAGGTCCGGGGGCGCTCAGGAACGGGTGGGGCGGCCGGCTGGCCCCGACCTGGAGGACAGAGAGCCCGGTGCCTGATTCCCAGCACGGGAGCTGGCCAACAGTCCTCAAGTTAGAAGAAAACAGGGAAGGGTCTGAAAGGGGTGAGGGGCTGTGTGTGTGACCCCAAGGGAGCCTCAAAGCAGGAGGGACGGTCAGGCCTCATCCTGCAGCTCATTCCATCCCCGCTCAGGGACTGGGCATGATTTCAGTGGTTGTCAGAGGCAGCTCGCCCAGGCCCTCGAGCTCGACTGCCCCGGTCCGGCCGCCACCTCCTCACTCGGGCTCCCCCAGCACACCCACCAGCTCCTTCTGTTCTCTGTGCAGGGCCTGGAAGCAGGAGGAGGGGACAAACAGGACACGAGAAAATCCAAACCTTTCCTTCCACTCGGCTTGACTCCAGGCCTCTTTCCCCCAGGACGACACGGAAGGAGTGGGTGCCTGCTGCCCAGTGCCCCAGAGCCAGGGAGGGGGCGAGGACAAGAAGGAAGAGAGCCACTGGGCCTGCTCCTGCGGCCGGCTCTCCAAGGCTCGGGGACCCGGGAGCCAGGGATTTGGGGGCCCACTGCTGTGAGGAACAGGAAGGCCTGTCCCAGGAAGGGAACCACCAAGTGGTTATAAGTAAACACAAGCTGGCCATCTGGATGGCGGAGCGAGCCCAACGTGGTGCAGCCACTCGAGCCCTGCCCACAACCCTGGACTGGAGCCACTTTTTGAGAGAGAGGAAGGGAGAGAGGGCGAGCAGAGAGAGAGTGAAAGGGGAATCTCAAGCAGACTCCCCGCCGAGTGCAGGGCCGACGTGGGGCTCGATCTCATGACCCTGAGATCGCCACCTGGGCCGAGACCGAATCGGACACTCAACCGGCTGCCCCCGCCCCGGGCGCCCCCTAATGTGCACGTTTTAAAGCTCCTGGGGATCGGTCACGTGGAGAACCCCACGGCCACGGAGCGCTAGCCCTGACTGACAGGAGGAGCCGGTCCCCTGGGCTGGGGACCAGGCCCGGGACGCTCACCTGCCAGGCCTGCTGCCTCGCCTCGCCCTGACGCTGCAGCTCCTGCACCCGCCCCCGCCCGGCCAGGACGGCCTGGGCCAGCTGCCTGTTCTCGGCCTCCTGTCTGTGCACACGGCGCTGCAGGGCATCCCGCTGCTGCAGGAAGTAGGGCATCAGGGCGCTGCGCACGTCTTCTTCCGGGATCCCGCTGGGGCGCCTGCGATCCCACCGGGGCCAGGGGACGGGGTGGGGAGGACGTGTGTGGGTGAGGCTGCCGTGGCCTCCCACCTGCGGCCTCTAGCGGGGCGGGCTTCCACTGGCACTCACCGGCTGGCGCTCAGCTCGGCGCCCAGGGGCCCCCTCTGCCCGCTCTCCCCGCCCACGTCTGCGCCCCCCATGTCTAGCGCTCCAGGACGGGAGGCGACCTTCCAGCTACTGCCTCTGTCCGTGGGACCCCGCGCACCCGCTCCTCAGTGAGCCGGAGACTGGGGGACCCGGAGGGGCCCCAGCAAGTGCTGGCTAACGTGGGAAGATGAGGCGGGCGGGTCTGGAGGCAAGAGGATGGGGGTCCTGAAAGCCCAGAGCGAGGGGATGGGTTGGTTCCAGTGGGCAGTGGGGTGGAAGCCACCAGAGGTCCTTTAAAAAATTTGTTTCCAGCTCTAAAACTCATTTCTCTTACGTGTTAAAGTCACAAAACAAAGAAACTGGAAAGCACGAGAAAGGTGTTTCCTGGCTCTGGCCTCAGACAGTTCAGGCAGGGAGAGTGGGGGGAGGCAGGAGCTCCGCGTGGGACGCCCCAGGCCGCGAGGCTGCCCGCGGGGATGTCAGCCCCAGGGCAGCAGCTCTGGCGGTCTTGTTCACCGCTGAATCCCAGGCATGTAAAACCGTTTGGGGCATACAGGGTGTCCCTAAATATTGTTAAATGGACAAGTGAATAAAAACCAGACGCCGGGCCGGCCTGACAGAGACTGCAAATCCACCCTTCCACCTCCTGCCGACGGGCAGATGGGTCCTGAAATGAGCCCCCTGCAAGGACGGCCCCCCCCCAGTCGGCCCCAAGCCCCCGACAGCACGCGCCGGCTACGAGGCTCTCCTTCCCCAGAGGGGAGGACGGGCTTGCTGCGCCCCAAGGCCCACGCGCGAAGCCACTTCTCACCAGGCCGGCTCCGTGCGGTCTTTGCCTTCTTGTACGATCTTGTCCAAGCAGTTCAAGACCGCTTCCAGGTTCCCCTCCGCTTTGATCTCAGAGATTTCCTCCTGAAGAGCAAGCAGGAAAGAGCTCCAATGACACCAGACAAGCCCACCGTGAAAATACGCCAAACCGTGGGCAGGACTCAGTAAGATCTGGGCCAATTTCGGTGTCTTTGTACCAACATTCCAACTTCTCTCCATGCGACTTTAATAACTAAGAACAGGAAGTAGCAAATGGGAAACATCTGAGCAGAGCCTGTGCCCAGCACCTTGGGATGCTGCAGCCCCAGGCCCAGCTGCTGGTGCCAGACACGCCCCGGTGCTTCCCGCCGCCCCGAAGCACGAGCGCGCGGGAGTGGAGCCCTCTGAAGAGATCACCGTTCCTGGAAGACACGAACACAGTCCCGGTCCGGTACTCCCTGCAGCACGCAGCTCCGCGGAATCGCACAGTTAAGTGTCTCCTCTGCACCTGGCCCTGCACCAGGCGCTGGGGACGCGGGGAGGCCAGGAGCCCGTGGGGCAGACAGCACGGGGCACGGCACCGGACCACGAGAGCGGGGACACGCCAGGGAACGGATGGCAGCCACGCGGGCAGCTCTAAGCGCTGAGGACCCAGAGGGCCCGAGCCAGCGCCCCCTGCTGCGCTCCCTGCCACTCACCCGGACAGATGTCTGCAGCTGGGTGACGAACTTGTCATAGACTCGCTGTGTCATCCCAGGCTGCACCTGGTAGAGGCGCTCATAACAGTCCGTGAATCTCTGGAAGCTGGCGGGAAGGAGAGACGGCCAGGTGGAGGGTCACGTGCACAGCCAGCCACAGCCCCGGCCCGGCCACCCCCATCTCCCCGCGCCCCCAGCCGTGGGGCCCTGGGTAAAGGCCTGCAGCTCCGCTCGGCCTCACCTGTCCCCAGGGTCCTCACTGCCTCTCAGCAGAGCCCAGCTGAGCTCAGGGGTCTCCCCTTACACGGTGGGTCACGCCTATCCACCATGGTGCATCAAATCACCGGGAGGGCTTGCTAGGACTCGGCGCCAGCCGCCCCCGCAGTGTCCAACTAGCTCCCAGGGGAGGCTGCTGCTGGTGTGGGCCGCGGTCCTTGAGAAACTCGGGTTGTTCCAGTCCCCTTGCCGGGCTGGACTAGGACAGGACATGTGGCCTCAGGCAGAGGCATCCTTCCTCCTCAAAGGAGCCACACGGGAAGGATGCCCCTTTTGTAGGATGGGACGACACGTGCTGGAGGCTAGGTCTCCAGCTCCCAGCCATTGTGGGGGCCCTGGCTTGAGGGCAGAGTTCATTCCCTAAGGAGGCTGAATGGAAGAGAGGAACTGGGGTGTCTGAGGACATCATCAAGCCGCCGAAGACACCAAGCTAGAGCCACCCACCTCGGGGCTGCTAGTTAGGGGGGTAATGGATTCCTCTTCT